CCAGGCCACAGGCAGGGAGCTGGATGGGAAGCATGGCTGCCAGGATTGGAACTGGCACCCATATGGGATCCCAGCATGTTCAAGGGGAGGACTTTAGCCACTAGGCTAACATGCTGGGCCCTTCTGCATTTCTTTGTTTTAAATATGTATTACCCATTCCAACAGTTTAAATATTGTATGTTTTTAAAATTTGACTGAAACAGAGCAGTTTTTCTATTTTTACTACATCTTATGTTTATACAAATTATTCATGATAGTATGTGTTGCTCACTGTGTTTCACTGTAAGAAATAAGACATGATTGTGTCATGGTATTATATGTGCTTATTGATCACATGTTCCAGCTTCGGGCTGTTACAGTGCTGCTTTTTTGAGCACACAGGCTTCTTGTAGGATGCTCCCAGAAATAGGATTATTATTTTTTTTAATCTTTCTTTTTTTAAAGACTTACTGATTTTTATTGGAAAGACGAATTTACAGAGAGGAACATATTCCATCCACTGGTTCACTCCCCAAGTGGTCACAGTGGCAGGAACTGAGCTAATGAAAGTCAGGAGCTTCTTCCAGGTCTGTCACAACAGGATCCCAAGGCTTTGGGTCATGCTGAGCTGCTTTCCCAGGCCACAAGCAAGAAGCTGGATGGGAAGTGGAACAGCCAGGACCTGAAGCAGTATCCGTATGGGATCCCATCACTTTAAGAGGGATGATTAGCCAGTGGAGCCATTTCACTGGGCCCTAGCATGATTCTTGATAACTAAAAACCAGGGGCAGCCTAAGAGTCCATAAATTGTACATGGGAAAATAAAATCTGGTGTATTCATATAATGAAATATTGTTCAGCTATAGAAAGAAATAAAGCAACGATGCATTTAGCAGCATAAGTCAATCTTGAAAATATTATGCTAAATAAAAGAGATCATACTAGAAGACCACTGTATCATTCCATGCACATAAATTCATTGAGACAAAAGATACTTACAGATTACTAAGGGACATGGGGTAAGGATGTTTGATTGCTAGTGGGCTTAAGTTGTAGGCAGAGTTGATGACAATGTTCTAAACATATTGGGGTCGGGGAGAACTCCTGAACGTCATGTGATCTAACCCTACAAAGAAAGCCACAGATGGGAATTGAAAATTTATCTAACAGATACGTTTTAAAGTCATAATTTTGTATGGTCTGTGAGGGATGTTATAAACGTCCAAATGGCCCTTGGCAGAAACAAGTGCCCCACCCAGTTGAACTTAAAAGCATAGAATTGCACACTGGAGGTGAGTGAATTTATGACATGTGAATTGTAGCTCAATAAAGAAATTAAGAAATCTTTTCCAGACAATATTTTAAACCCAGATCACTAGGATGTTAAAAACGAGTTTCTGTGGTTACTAACAGTCTATGAATAGAAAAATTGAAGTTTATGTAAATTCTGAAACTTTTACGTGAAATCTCTTAACAGCATACACTCTTCATTATGATTATGAACGTATAATTGCAATCAAGAGGCTCTCAGTATGTTTTTGTTTGGCACTATGCTTTACCGTTGGCTTGGGTGATGATACGTGATTGGGATGAAGAGGTCATGAAGAACAAGGATTTGATCTGTTGCCACTGCAGTTTGTATCACACACTCAGTAGATGTGTTGGATCACATTTTATCTGCTTTGAGAACTTTAAAAGAATTGATACTGCTTTTTCTTTTGAGTATGAATGGCAGATATCTCAGAAGTGAGACAGGTTTAAAAACTTAGAAATCTGTATTGCTTGTATTTGAGGACTCCTTGTTTTAGGAAGAGTGTTTCTAATGTTAACTGAAATGTCTTCCTCTAGCATTTTCTTCATGTTTCTCATATGATGACCTTTCTCTGAACATTCGCTAAAGTTTTATGATCTTGAATTCTTTCCCATGGCATTCTTAGCTTCCTTCTCACTTTAAGGTTCAAATAGTAGTTGTCACTCCAGATTTCTGTTTCCATTCTACCTTGGGTTTGTCTTCTTAGGACAAATGCTTTTTTTCTCTCATTATCTCATGTTCCTTCATGGCACCATTTGTAAAATGGGCAGTTTCAGATAGCCAGTACAATGCATGGATCAGAAAGACAATCATAAATCATATCCTTAGGTTAAGAGTGCATCATTGAAACAGGACAGGAATCTGCTCCAAAAAGGGAGGGAAGTAATGTTTAAGAAGGAAACAGTTTTAAACATTATAAATTTAAATTTAAAAGACATAAATTTTAAAATGAAATAGAGTACCAAAAAAAATGAGAAGAGATAGAATAGAATAAAATAACATGAACTATGCAGAAGCCCAAGTGTATGAATCGGTAGTTCCAGAAAGAGTGGACAGAACAAAAGGAATTATCTGTGGCAGGAATTTTTTCTGAGCAGAGTCTCTAATTTGCCAGGACACACAAAGTATATCACAAGATAGACTTTTAAAAACCCCAATCATGGAATTTCAGAACATGAGGATGAAAAGGGGGAAGATCCTGAAAGAAACCAGAGGAGGAACAACTCAACAAAAATATTTTCTTCCAGAAATTATTTAAATCTTTAAAAAGGATTTTTTAAATTATGATATTTGAAGAATTCTGATACTTCATTATTGTAAACTCTGGTTTTTACCACCTTCAAAAACTTCATAACTATAATTGTTCTTATCATGAAAATTATAAAAGGCAACATTTGCATTTATTAAATTTGAATCAGAGAGTCTGTTTGCTACTCTGTGTTGATCTCAGATTTGACAATACTTGATATTTCCACTTTGGAAAGTGAAGCCAGTTCACTTTACTAAAATTTCCCAAAGATATGTCTTCACTAAAAGTGAATATTGAATTCTAATGTCTTATGGCTACGGGGGGCCAGAGAAAGTACCAAGAATTGAGAAAATTGGGATGGCTATTAAAAAGCCAAGTCTAAATAATTAGTCACATTCACTAAGGCCTCAATAGCCCAGTAATGCCCTGTGATGGTTTTTCTATTAAATTCTTTTTGGTTTTAACATTCAGTCTTGAAAAAAAACAGTTGAAGTACGTGATAAATAAGTATTGAAAGTTGGAAACCAAAATTTCTTTTCCTTTATTGAAAGGAATATTGTATACCTGCTTCCTTCTCCCCCAACTCCCACCCCCAAAGCTCTGTAAAGCAGGCAGCTAATAGGCGCCAGAGCCTAAATGCCAATCCAGGTCTTTCTGCCTCCTAAATTTACCAGTGTACAAACTTGTGCTGCAACAAATGAGTGAGATAATATGAAATAAATTGATAGCATGTTGTAAAATGACAGTATTTGTTCCTACAGTTGACAAGGATGCATGCCCCTGAGGAGCACGGATTTGGGGGGGTGAGGGTCGCAAGTGCAGGAAGGTGGGTGGGACAAATGCTTCCACTTTTTCTTTTCTCCTGTATTGGGAGGAAGGGAGGGAACCACACCCAGCTGCTGAACTACATCAGTACCTACTGATGGGGGATGTCCACTCGGTGTCACCTTAGAGACCCGGATATGAAGAATGTTCTAAGAGTGTTGCCCAAGTGACTTTGACAGTTCTGATAGTAAGTTTGGTAGTTGCTCCAAGGTTCACCCCAGTGTATCCACTTACCCAACACTTGCTGACAAAACTCAGCCAAAAGAGTTGTCCAACCCATTCTGTGCTCATCTTCTGACATGGCACTTAACATCCTCTGCAGGCCTAAATGCTCTGGTTGTCTTGTCCCCCACATTCGCCTCAACTTGCTGTCCACTGCACAGGCATCAGCAGTTGAGGAAGCCCAATCTTAACACATGCATGTGGTCCAAGGTTAGACTACGAATCCTGTGTTCTTCCCTCTAATAAGTCAAGTGGTCCAGTTGGGGGGGGTCCCCCAAAAATCCCCACCTGGGGTGATCCCAGACCTGGCTTTTACATGTGCCATCCAGTGCAGGGTCCTCCTGTTAAGTCTGTCACCCATATCAGCCTCCACACACACTAGTGATTTTAGTTGCCTAGTCAGTTTCATCCCCAGCCCCATGTCCTGTGCAAACCTACAGATGATGTGGCCCATCCCATCCCAGCCGTACCACAAACCTGGCCCTTATACATACCAACAGGAACTGCAGCCTAGTTGGGGTGGTCCCCAGTAACCCAACTCCCCCCACACCCCCAGGCCCATCTCTGGCTCCTGTGCTTGCCAGTTATGTGCAGACTATTCTGGTCTGTGCCACATTCTAGTCAGGTTCTCATATGCAGCTATGGGTGTTACAGCCTAGCTCAGCCTGCATACTCCATGACGCATAATCTACACAAATTTCCATACAAGGTGCTGCCACCTTGTCCAGCCTGGTCCTTCCCCAGCACTGGCCCATACACACAAGTGGGAACTACAGTACAGCAGGGGTGTCCCCTTAGCTCCCCTACCAGATTCACTCCCAGGCATGGAGCTTGCCTGTGTTGGTGGTTGCTGCAACCCAGCCTGCCTCCATTCCTAACTTTCATGCAAACTGGTAGGTGTTGACAGCCTAGCCCTGCATAGCCTGCACCCACCCCATCCTGGTTCCTGTGCATGCCAGTGTGCTGTGGTTTGGTGCGCCCTGCCCGGTTTGTTTCCTGAGCCAGTTCACATACGTGCCAACAAGTGGAACAGGCTTGCCCAGCCTAACTTAAGTGCTCACCAGTGATAGCCACAGCCTACCACGCCCACTCCCAGACCGTACTTTCTGAACTGGCAGGAAGTAGAACTTTTTTTTACAGTGTGTGATCACAGATACTTAACTTTTGTGAGGATATAATAGTATAATAGATGAAAATCTAGTCGTTTTCTCAGGCTTTTTGTATGTTTTATCTTTTTGTTGCTGTTGTTTGTTTTTCAGAGAATTTTGTTTTAACTAGTGGGTATAACGTTTTCCTAGGCTGTCACTTGGTAATATTTTATTTATATTTCTGGAGGTTTAATGAGGGAAAAGTTTAAAGACATTTTCCTCTATCCATGTGGAATGAGCATGCTGCTTTTGTGTCAATTTTTAGATGTGAAAATCAGCACCGAGGTTCTGCTCCCCACTCTGAGAGTGATCTACCAGAGCAAGAAGAGGAGATTCTGGGGTCAGACGATGATGAGCAGGAAGATCCCAATGATTATTGTAAAGGTAATTCTGTACGTAGGCACCAAACCACTGCCCATTTGCACTTTCTCTTTGGATAGTCGTTGGTCTATCAGTAGAAGCTAGAAAACAGCCTGAGACTGCAACCATAATTATCTTTAATTGAGCAACAAGAGTATTATGATACATGAATTTATTTGTTTGAAGATGAGGTTGTTTTATGTAGTTTTCTTTTAACAAGAGTTCAGTAGTACTATGTGGTTCATTTGATAAGATTTTTGCTTAATAAGATTTTCTTGTGTTTGGTGTTTATACAGGAGAAACTTTGATAGAGCAAATGTATAGATATTGAAAAATGGAATGTAAGACTCTATCTTACTACTTGAGATTGTTTCCAATTCTGGTCCCTCTGACTATGTCCTCTGGTGTTTCTTCCAGGAGGTTATCATCTTGTGAAAATCGGAGATCTATTCAACGGGAGATACCATGTGATCCGAAAGCTGGGCTGGGGTCACTTTTCCACAGTGTGGTTGTCATGGGATATTCAGTAAGTTTCCACGGTCCTGTATAGGAGTTAGTAAGGTGACACTCATGTTTTTGTCCGATATTTTTTTTCCCCCTGAGGAGATTCAGGCTTTGGTTCATCTCCAGAGTGTTTTCCTGATCTGTATTTTGTTATCACTTTTATGTTCTTGGACAAATCACTTCCCCCTCATGAAGAATCAGGCCATGTGTCTCTGCCTTGAGACGAAAGATTGATCATGGTGCCTGTGAAGCACTTGGAGCTCCCAGATTCAGCGTTGATGTGTAAATAGCACTTTCTCACGGGAGCCCAGTCAAACTTGTAGAAAATGGTCCATGGAATGGAAAACCTTTTTTCTGCCAAGGACCACTTGAGTGTTTATAACATTATTAGCGGATCATATTAATTGGTTTTGTGTATTTAGAAGTTACCATCTTTTATGAGAATAGTGATTACTGTTTGTGTTCTTCACCTTTTGTTGTTTGAGCTTTTATGATTTTTTTTCCTGTCCTTTTCTTTTCACCCAAATGCTTCTTTATCACAGTCTCCTCCCAATTATGGTTTGCCTTAGCTTCCAGAGGCAGGCATTCGGTGAGTGGTTCAAATCACTTGGGTTGCCCTTATCACACACCAGTGTCTGCAGTAGAGTCTTGCTCCATTCACGGTCCCAGCCTCCTACTGATGCAGACCATGGAGGTTAGGAGGAAGACAACAAGAGATGGCTAAACTGAGTTCCTGCCCCGTGAGACCTGGATTGAGTTCCTGGCTCTGGATTTGAACTTGACCCTGTCCCAGTTCTTTTAAGCATTTGGGGAATGAACCAGTAGATGTGATTTTCCATCTGTCTGTCTCTGTTTTTCTATTTCTTTGGCTTTCAAAATAATGAGTCTTTTTTTTTAACTTAAAAAAAAAGTCAGCTTCTAAGATAGTTGTGCCACATTTCATCATAATTGCCTCTGTTTGTTTATTAGGGGGAAGAAGTTTGTGGCAATGAAAGTAGTTAAAAGTGCTGAACATTATACTGAAACAGCACTAGATGAAATCCGGTTGCTGAAATCAGTGAGTATCAGGTCATTTGTGTAGACTGCAAAGCGTTATAAGTAAAGTTTTGTTGAATTAAGACACACCAAGTGCTAGTAATTGTATAACTCCTGTATCTTTAAATGGAGGAAGATAATAGTGGTTGCATATTTCTGTGCCTGTAAAGGGAAAGTAACAGTATTTGTTATAATCAAAATTCTTCCTAAACATATTCTAAAAAAAAACAAGTTGTGACACAACGTATTCGTTGAACATGTCTTTATATACTGATAATACTGTCATAAATGTTTTTTCTCTCTCATGATTAAAAGGAAAGATGCATGACGAGATGTATTTTATGTTTTTAATATGCTGTGAAAAGTAAATCTTGTACTTATTCATGTCTTTTTTGCGAGGAAAGCTTGGTAAAGATTATCCAGAGTTTGTTCTCAGTTTTATACATGATTAAGATTTCAGTGTGCTTACCTTCAGAGATAAAAACCCGAGTTTAGGGCAGTTTTATCCTCCTGTATCCTCCCTCTTATTTTTTCCCCTCTTTGCATTCAGAAGTGAGAGTGTTAGACTAGGAGATTTCTGTTGGAGTATGTTTCAAGAGTACCTGTTTGTGACAAACCTGTGTCCAAAGCAAAACAACATTGTTTGCTTCACTGAAAAAGTGTTTCTATGAAACAAAAAAAACTGAATAAATAGTGTGATTAGTGCTATAGTTAATTTCTTAATTCCACATAATCTGGTAGCCAACAGTCAGTTTGGAGGCCACATTTTGAGTAGCATAATGGTTTAATTAGAAGTGTGGTGTGGAGTTGATTTGTTGTGGATGTTGGTGCCTGACATTTGGCCTGTATACTTTGCTTTGGACTAAATACTGTCTTTTCCCTATCACAGGTTCGCAATTCAGACCCCAATGATCCCAATAGAGAAATGGTTGTTCAGCTACTAGATGACTTCAAAATATCAGGAGTAAATGGAACACGTATCCTTTTGAGAACCTATTCTTAATAAATTGTGGAATATCTTTAGCCTTAAGAAAGCAGCTGGATCAGCAGCAATGTTGTTTTTTCTCAAGGCAAGCTACGGTAAAATTACCTTTCACCATACACTTAGGAACACACATTTGATCTATGTCTGAATATCTTTTTGAGAATATTGATTTTGGCTTTTTCCCCCTTTCCAGACAAACCACGGTCAAAAGAGACATTTTTAGCGAATAACCTTATATTACTAAATAAAGTTTCTTACCATAAGCTTTATCAGTACAGGTGTTTTAAGGGAAGTAGCTGTTTGTTTTTTTTTTTTTATGGGTAAACAAGAAATTAAGGTAGATTTTATTTGTTACTCACCAGGCCTCACTATTTGAGAGACTGTGGGTTGTGTTCTTAGATTCTAAATATGTGTGATTGTTAGCATTCTATCATGATAAGACTAACTTAAAAAATATATTAACTTATTTATTTGAAAAGCAGAGTGACAGGAAAGGACAGCAGTTCCATCTGCAGGTTTACTCCCTAAATTACTTGAGTGGCTGGAGTTGGGCCAGGCAAAAGTTGGGCACCAGGAGGTATTAGGGATTCAAGCAGTGGCCATCTTCCACTGCTTTCCCAGGCTCATCACCACGGAACTGGATCCAAAGCAGAATGTTGGGAACTCAAACCAGTGCTCTTATGTGTGGGAGGCAAGCATTATGGGCACCACATTTTTTTCTTAAGATTTATTTATTTTTTTATTAGAAAGGCGGATTTACAGAGACAGAGAAACAGAAAGATCTTCCATCCACTGCTTCACTCTCCAAGTGGCTGCAATGGCCAGTGCTGAGCTGATCAGAACCAGGAGCCAAGAGCTTCTTCCAGGTCTCCCACGTGGATGCAGGGTCCCGGATGGGAAGCAGAGCCGCCCGGATTAGAACCGGCGCCCAAATGGGATCCTAGAGTGTTCAACGCAAGGACTTTAACCACTACACTATCATGCCGGGCCCTATCATTCTACTTTTTGTCCCTGTTTAACTTCTTGTACAATACATTCTTAGTTGCCATGGATGATTTTTGTTAAAGATGGCCGTGTATTTAAAAGGCAGATTTACAGATAGAGAGTGCAAGAGGAGAGACAAAGAGATCTACTGGTTCACTTCCCTAATGGCCCACAGTGGCCAGAAGCTGGATGAGTTCAAAGCTAGCAACTTTGAACTCCACATTGCTATGGGGACCTGAGCATTTTTGACTGCTTCCCCAGGTACATGAACAGGGGGCTAGATCAGAAGTGGAGCAGCTGGGACTCAGTATACACTCTGATGTGAGATACTAGAATTACATTCTGCGGTTGAACTTGCTGTGTCTCAATACCAGTTCACTGCTTTTATTTCAGTCATTCTAGCAAAGCTGAGATGGTCTTGTTTTGTTTCCCTAAAGTTTTCTTTACTAATCTTCTGTAACTTAGAACCACTCCTTCGTGACATTAACCTGTTTTCTTACCCTTTCTTTTTTTTTGTTTATTAACATTATTCATTCTTATTTGTCAGCTTTACCACACAGATGTTTTGTGCACATACAGTTGTGCTTATTGCTGCTGACTGATCACAGTGCCTTCCACATTTCTCTGTTGTAAAAGTTCCTTGTTCCTTATAATAGGTGAGCGATCTGTGGAGTGACGTTTGGCCCTGTGATAGTCCTTTTACACACTGGTTGTAGCATTCGATGATTCTTACTGCTATAGTGATTATAAAATTACCTTGTATACTTATTACCTTGTGAACTTCATGTTTGCTTTAATAATAGTATGAATTCTTTTTATGTTTTTAAGATTTACTTATGTTTGAAAGACAGAGTGACAGATTTTCCATCTGCTAGTTCACTTCCCAAATGCCTACAACAGTCTGAGCTGGGCTAGTCTTCCTTGTATGGGACAAGGACCCAAGTATTTGGGCCTTCTGCTGCCCTCCAGGGTACAGGGCATGAGGAGGCTGGTTCTGAAGCAAAGAAGTCAGGATTCAGACTGGTACTTCATTACAGGATGCTGGCATCACAAGTGACTGCTTAGCCCACTGCACCACAACATCGACCCTTCGTTGCATTTTTAATTAATATATTAACTTATAACATCACTGTAAGATTGTTCCATTTTAGCCAGTGGCATCCTCTTCAAAATGGTTAGTTTCTATTTCTTCATAATTTGTTCCCTTATTTGTTAGGACAGCAAAATTTCTAAGCTCACCTTGTCCAGTATATGGCCTTTGATTTGCTATTATTTTTCCAAGAAACTTAAGCTTTGGTTTTAGTGGAAAATCCTATTTAAGCAAAAATTCTAAGCAGTATGTCATTTCTGTGTGTGTGTGTGTGTGTGTGTGTGTGGTTTTAAAGGGTTTTTATTGTTGTTGTTGGAAAGTCAGATATACAGAGAGGAATATCTTCCATCCAGTGATTAGCTGAACCAAAGCTAGGAGCCTGGAACCTGTTTCAGGTCTCCCCTGCATGTTCAGGGTTCCAGGTCCTAGGCCATCCTTGACTACTTTCCCAGGCCACAAGCATGGAGCAGGATGGGAAGTGGGACCTCCAGGGTTAGAACCGCTGTCCGTATAGGATACTGGCGCTTGCAAGGCCATGACTTTACTCACTAGGCTACTGCACCGCACCGTTTTGTGTGTGTTTTGACATTGCGGTATAGGTAGAAGTTTCTGGGGGTGAAAGACATCCGGGTACCACTCCACACGAGTGAGCCTGCACAGGATATTCATGACGCATGTTGGCACTAGATTCGAGATGAACTCTGGAGCCCACAGCACATAAAGCAAGTCAATCTCCTATTTTTTTTTTTAAAGATTTATTTATTTTTATTGGAAAGGCAGATATATATAGAGAGGAGGAGAGACAGAGAGGAAGATCTTCTGTCCGATGATTCATTCCCCAAGTGAGCGCGACAGCCGGTCGCATGGCTCTAAAGCCAGGGCCAGGAACTCTTCCAGGTCTCCACATGGGTGCAGGGTCCCAAGGCTTTGGGCTGTCATCGACTGCTTTCCCAGGCCACAAGCTGGATGGAAGTGGAGCTGCTGGGATTAGAACTGGCACCCATATGGAATCCTGGCGCATTCAAGGGGAGGACGTTAGCTGCTAGGCCACTGTGCTAGGCCCACTCCACAACTAACTCTTCATGCTGAGAGAAAACAGTATTCCCCTCTGGTGGCACCCACATTTTTGCTCGTTCTTTGCTTGTGCCTGTGTTTTCCTGCTTAAAGAATTCCCAGATATCTGCATGGTATTTGAAGTTTTGGGGCATCATCTGCTCAAGTGGATCATTAAGTCCAACTATCAGGGGCTTCCACTGCCTTGTGTCAAAAAGATCATTCAGCAAGTATGTATCTGCATTTGATTATATGGTGATGACTTTGTGTGTGTTTTTTTAAGTGTTAAAGGAGTTTCCAATTTCCAATAGAATTTTTATTTTAAGAACTAGTTTTTTAAATTGCTGGAAATAAATATCTTACTCAGCCCTAGGGTTTGTTGTGTGTATTCTCTCTGTAAATGTGTTAGCATGGCTGTTATCCCCCAGGTTCATCTGCTGTAATTGTTAAGGGTTAGAGTGGGGTTCTGGGGGACATCTGTGTAAGGTACCTGACTTTGGAAATTGGAACCTTCATTAATTGTGTCAACAGATTTGCTATGCCAAATTATTATTATATTTTTACATAGCCATGTTCATGGGCATTTCCTGAATAGCCTTTGATATACATTACAGAACTTAATTATCAGGAAAGTACTCATATTTCAAGGCACAGCCAATCTGTCTTAGAAAATATTTCTTAGAAAAAAGTCTAAATTGGGAAGCAAGAGTTCTCTTACCAGGGAGGAAATTTTAAGGTAAGAGATACCTAAAGCCGTTTCATCACCTAGATTTCAACCCTTCAAAGTGTGTATTGTGAACATTTTTCTCAGAATTTATAATTTATATACTTAAAGTCTATAAATATAACCAGCTTTGTGAAACTGGGGAGCTTGACAACCTTCCTGGTGGAGTTTCTTTGTTTTTTAAAAGTATGTAGAATGCACTGTTGGGTCATTTTTTTCCACCCATGTTGTGATTTTATCATTCTCCGGGAAGACCTGTGTTTTATGTTTACAGATTTGTTCTGCCCTATCCAGGTTCTGCAGGGTCTGGATTATTTACACACCAAGTGCCGTATCATCCACACTGACATTAAACCGGAAAACATCTTGTTGTCAGTGAATGAGCAGTACATTCGGAGACTGGCTGCGGAAGCCACCGAGTGGCAGCGGTCCGGAGCACCTCCTCCTTCTGGATCAGCAGGTGGGGATTTGGGGGAAGGGTGGCTTTTGCTCTTACTAGTTAATGTCCGTTTTTATTCTGTTACTGGGGAGTTTTATGTGACTCAGTCATTTAACAATAAAATAGTTAAGAAATAGTACCAGCCTTCAAGAGACTTTATTCTTACTGTTCTTCCTAAATGGGAAGAAAGCTTGAGATTGTTGTGTCTTTTGGGAACACATATGTTGTATGCTATAAAAACTAATCCTATTGCTGTTTATAAATGTTTTTTCTTGTGATTTGTTGACCATTTTGACATGCTTGCCTTGTAGCACAATCACCTCTTCCCCCTGCCTCTGTTAGTTTTTTGGTTTTTGGTTTTTCCATTATACAGTTTGTAGGTAAAGGGCTTCTCCCCATCCCTCCTTTTCCTCCTTCCCCGTTTTCCCTTGTATTTTACAATGCAGTCAGTTTCAGCATTCTGCTGTTTTATGTTAAGTGTCATGACATTGCAGGTATAGGCAGTGGCAGAGAATCTAGTATCTTGTCAAGATACCTTTAACAGTTTCATTGGGAGATTTTCTTTTATTCAGGAGTAGAGATACATACTGCAGTGCTTCTTTGTACTCTCTAGTCTCCATTACACTGTTTATGAATATGATTTGTATATCCTTGTTTACCTGTGTATCTTTTTATTTGTGGTTTGTATGAAGTTTTGCCTTTTATCAAAGAGAGCATATGATATTTGTCCCTTTGAGACTGGCTTATTTCAAGAGCTTAATGATCTCCAGTTGGGACCACTTTGTTGAAATCATAGAATTTCAATTTTTTTAATGGTTGAATAATATTCCATAGGGTAGATTTTACAGTTTCTTTATCCATTCATTACTCTTTGGTGTCTGAGTTTCCATGTCTTTGCTATTGTGGATTACCACAGTCGCCGTTTAACCTTAATCCCACATGCTCGCCTATGGATCCATGTTCTGCCAAGGGGGGGAAACTAACACTGCTATTAAGACCATGGGTTTACTGGAGTAAACAGAACTGGTTTGAATCTTGTCTTAACCGTTATCTTGGGAACCTTGACATAGTTCCTCCTTTAGCAATTATTGGGATTAAATTTCAAGTTAAAGCAGTTAGTAGTATGCTTCATAGAATTATGTCCTAAATAAATTATAGTTACTATGATTGTGCTTTCTTTTCCACTTGAGGTACAGATTTAATTTTTAATAGCTTAATTGTACTTGAGGAATTTTATTATTCCAAGTTGAAATAGTTATGGGCTTTTGAAAAGGAAGGTTGAAGAGAATTCAGCGGGTTTAGTTTGCAAGGTGAAATAGTTATAGAGGTTTTGTGTGAACATGTTTGTGTGAACATGCCGTAGGCATGTAAGGCACTAAGTTGTATTCTGTAGGTTTTTAAAATCATGATTTTTGAACATTTTTGGAGGGAGATTGAAGATCCCATCTAAGTTCATCTGTAAATTACTGTAAATTGATGTCACCTAGATCTCCCTTTTAAAACTTGAGGAGAGCCAGGAAGGAAGAATTGGAGCTGGAATGGATGGAGGGGAAGGGTGTTGTTGCTTGTCACTGTAAGTAGAACAAGGGAGAAGAAACAGGTGACTCAGCAGCAGGGGCAGTGGAAGCCAGAAACAAGGACTTCGCATGTTTGCATAGGTCAGCGCTATCTGGTGAAGAATTCAGTTTATTTAAGCTTAAATTTGGCACCTCAAATGCAACAGTAATGTTTTCCCAAATCACCTAAAACAGTCATTTTCTCTACAATGTAGGCTATGCAAGAAAGACTTTGATTTGTAGAGGGAATGATCTGAGTTTAGTTTATGTTGCCTATGATAATCCAGGATTCTGACTTAGTTTTCTTTTCTTTTCAGTCAGTACTGCTCCCCAACCTAAACCAGTAAGTATAAGGTGTTTCTATATTTAATTCTCATCTGTGGGGTTGTGGGCTTGGGTTCTTCTATTTAAATGGTCACAGTTTGTTTAGAATGTGGAAACCAAAGGAAAAGAGATATCCCTGCGCTTCCCTAATTTTCTCCAATTAATTTCCATGCAGTCTTCGGCAGGTTTGTGATGATGAAGCATCTATGAATCTGAATGTGTCTGAGAGTGCATTAGCCCCACAGACTGCTCAGAAGGCCTAGATTTGCTGTCAGTTTTGGTTTTGTTTGGTTTCATGACACTATCTGCATCTTTTTTTATGTTGATAAAAACCTGAAGTGCTGTTGAGGGAAAGAGTGAAATTTAATTAGGAAGTAATTAAAATTAACGGTTATCTCCAACTAGGGGTGATGGATTAGCCACCTGAAGGCTTTATCTGTTTGTAATCTCCGCCCAGGCTGACAAAATGTCAAAGAATAAGAAGAAGAAATTGAAGAAGAAGCAGAAGCGCCAGGCAGAATTACTAGAGAAGCGAATGCAGGAAATTGAGGAAATGGAGAAAGAGTCGGGCCCTGGGCAAAAAAGACCTAACAAGCAAGAAGAATCAGAAAGTCCTGTTGAAAGACCCTTGAAAGAGAACCCACCTAATAAAATGACCCAAGAAAAACTTGGTATAAATAGAGCATCACAAAAATTACTTTATGGCACACGTTAATATTTATCATTGTTATATAATTAGTAGTTTTATCATATTTAGCACATCTCTGGGGGTATTCTTGCAAGAATACGGATTTTCTCATAAGTGTTAGGCAGGTGGTATTCAAATGTAATTTCTAACTTTTCTCAGGACACAAAATATAGACTTCATTTAGCAATTGGATAAGGATAAGATCTCTATCCTTTGATAAAAAGGCTGTAGATGTCCAGTTACATTTTGTGTCACTTGGCATAAGTTCTAGAAAATGTTTTTATCTTATATAAGAAATGTTTCTGTTGTTTCCCACATGCACATACATCCTTGTTTTTGTTTGTTTATTCCTTAGAAGAGTCAAGTACCATTGGCCAGGATCATACACTTACGGAACGTGGTGTAGAGGGTGGTGCCGCAGAAATTAATTGCAATGGAGTAATTGAAATCGTTAATTATACTGAGAACACTAATAAAGAAACATTGAGGCTTAAAGAGGATCTGCATAATGCTAATGACTGTGATGTCCAAAATTTGAAGCAGGAACCTAGTTTCCTAAACTCCCAAAATGGAGACAGCGGCACATCTCAAGAAACAGACTCTTGTACACCTGTAACCTCTGAGGTATCAGATATCATGGTATGCCAGTCTTCCTCAACTGTAGATGAGTCGTTCAGTGAACAGAACATCAGCCAACTTCAAGAAAGCATTCGGGCTGAGATACCCTGTGATGATGAACAGAATGGACCACTGGACAATAAAGGTACCCCAGCAGATACACTTCTTCAGCACCCGTTCTGTGCATGACACGTTCCTGGTGTCCACACTGAAAGTACTGTTGTTTGTAACGGTAGGCATATAGCAGGTGTTCAGGTTATTTCCAATATGTAAGTGTTGTAACTAACTTTAAATTTTACTCTTCATATACTGAGGGGCACAACATTTCACTTGGCTGTCAAGAAGGCAAAAATTTTTAATTTTAGAAACTTGGGGTGCTACTGTGTGCTCTTTCTTAATTTGGAAAATGTATTGTAAGTTACCACTTGGGGACTTAACCATGCAACGCTTGCATTGAAGACCTTTGTTATCTTTTTCTGGGTATTTATTCATTGAACAGCTGTGTTGATGATGCCTGTTGTCTGTAGGAAAATCTACTGCTGGAAATTTTCTTGTTAATCCCCTTGAGCCAAAAAATGCAGAAAAGCTGAAAGTGAAGATTGCTGATCTTGGAAATGCCTGTTGGGTGGTAAGTTAACTCATCTCAATGTAGCGGGAATGAACAAGAATTTAGACTTACGCTAAAATAAAGCATATGTAGTTCTGTACCCAACACTTTATTTCAACTCTTTTAACCTTTAATTCTGGAAATGTATTTATCAAAGTAGCAGGAAGGGTATAGTCTAGCAGCTCATTTTGGTTCTCCTCGTTGTCCCCCAGATTGCCATGCCAACTCATACTTGCCTCTGCCCCCACCCTTATTTGACAGCTAACTGATGAGCTATAACTTTATTTTAATGCGCTTAGTAGGTTATGGCACAATGTGGGGTAAGCCACCTGTTCCCACAGAGCTTGTGTGGTTCAACTCCCAACTACTTCATTTCTGATCCAATTCCCTGTTAATGGACCTGGGAGGCAGTGGGTGATGGCCCAAGTAGCTGGGTTCCTGCCACCCACACGGGAGACGTGGATGGAGATGGAGTTCCTGGTTTCAGGCTTTGTTATGGGAATAGAAGATTCTCTCTAACTTTCCTCTCTTCTCTCTCCTCTTTCCTCCCTTCTCCCTCCAATCTCTTTTTCCCTCTCTTCCCACTCTCCTCCTTTCTCCTTTCCTCTCCTCTCCCACTCTTGCTCGTCTCCTTCCTCCTCTTACTCTTCTCCCTCTCCCCACATCCTTCCTCCTCTCCTCTCATTTCCCTCCTCCCTCTTCCCTTTTACCATCTTTTCTCACTTTCTTTCAAATAAATAAATCAATATTTTTTAAAAAGATTTATTTTATTGGAAAGTCAGATATACAGAGAGGAGGAGAGACAGAGAGAAAGATCTTGCATCTGATGATTCACTCCCAAAGTGACCACAACGGCCAGTACTGCGCTGATCTGAAGCTAGGAGCCAGGAGATTCTGGGTCTCCCACATGGGAGCAGAAACCCAAGGCTTTGGGCCATCCTCGACTGCTTTCCCAGGCCACAAGCAGGGAGCTGGATGGGAAGTTGAGCTGCCAGGATTAGAACTGGCACCCATATGGAATCCTGGCGCGTTCAAGATGAGGACTTTAGCTGCTATGCCACGCCACTGGGTCCCATGAGTCAATATTTTTAAAAAGGATTATGGATATTTATTTTTATTGATGAAGAATTTATGTAAAATTTCATTGTTACATAACATTCCCTAATATATTATAGACTTTCATGTTTTTGATAGTTCTTTGTGATGACAGTCTTTGCATATGAATCATTGTTTAATTGTCCTAAGGACATATCCTAGATGTAGAATTATGAAGTCTAAATAGGGCGATATTTTTAAGAGCCTTTTGGTGTATAGTGCAATATTTTTCTCTCAAGAAGATAACATCATTCTACCTTTAACAATTCGAAGAGGTGTTTTCTCCAGTCTTAGGTTAAGTCATAAAATCTAACTGTAGTTAACTTTTTAAAATTTATTAATACTATGCTTTTTGTTTTTGTTTGTTTTTTTTTAAACTAGGTACCTAGGAAGGTTTGGGGTTATTTTTTCATGGACATCTTTTTATCTGTGACATAAATTAAACTTGTCAAGCCAAATGCTTTTTAACAGGAAGTGCTTTAGACCCCAACAGAATCTCATTTCCAGTATACTAGCAAAAGTCAAGTCAGTACTAAACAGCACTGACTGATCCAAGCAGGTGGAATTAGTCTAGTACACCACTGTCAGAGTGGTACTTTTGAAATGGGAGTCAGTCAGGTACTCTTGAAACTTTGCAGTGACTCTGCTCTAAAGGAATGTCAGTCTTTATGGCTCACACACCACCGTAATTGTTTTCTGCCTAGGACTTCCCAAAGTAATGTGTTCAGCCTATACCCACCTATTCTTTTAAGTTACCATTAGGTGTCATCAGAGCGCTTTCCTCTACCACCTGAATAATTCTCCAAACACATATTCTCATATCATAGTCATTCATGGGTTTTCTCATTCTTTTCCCTCCCTCTCCCCTCAATATTTTTTTCTGCACAGCAGTAGGCTCAGTCTGATACCTTGTGCATGGCAGGCACCAGTTACTCCATAGGTCCGTGTATCCAAGTGAGGTTTAGACTCATCTGTCTGAAGAAAATTGGAAGTAAAGCTATAAATAAGACAAAAGAATTATTTCGATGTAAAAACATCAAAATGATACTTAAGAAGCTAGTTTAATGTCAGCTTTGGGAAATTTTTGAATTTATTTTCATCTCCATTGTGAAGCAATATTATTACCCCTTAGAGTAAATGAATTTTAAAATAACTATTTCTTTCTCTATTTATTTAGCACAAGCATTTCACCGAAGACATTCAGACAAGGCAGTATCGCTCCCTGGAGGTTCTAATTGGATCTGGATATAACACCCCGGCTGACATTTGGAGTACTGCGTGCATGGTAAAACTGGTCTCCTCTGGTTACCACTTACTAGGGGATAGTTAAATACCTTGCTCTATTTGCTAATTTCAATAGACCAGCAAGAGGGAAGCAAAAAGACAACTTAGAGCAAGTAACCTGTTTCTAGAGAAACCTGACTTTAAAAACCTATTGTAAACATTTGGCATTCTACTTGGTTATTGCCAAATTCCTATTAGGTCAGGGAACCAAGTGACAGAGTTTGGGGAAACACTGAAATAGTTGGTGTGAGGTGGTACTGGATTTCATCGGGAGATTGCAGGTACCTGACCCTTTTAGCACTAACCTGTTTGTAAACTAGGGAAACCCCTGGAAGCTGCTTTAATCTCTCTAATCCAGTATCTCCTCAAGTTTACAATTCACACCTGTGAAGCCCAATCCCTCACAACTAACTCAAAGACCTTGATTTGGCCCAGCTCAAGCTATAGTAGCCATCTAGGGAATGAATAGCAAATGAAAGATCTCTATTTCATCTCTCTCACCTCATCTCTGCTTAACCTCTCCTCTCAGTAATTCTACCTTTCAAATAAATACATAAAATCTTATTTTATTTTTTTAAGATTTTTATTTATTGGAAAGTAAGATATATCGAGAGGAGGAGAGGCAGAGAGGAAGATCTTCTGTCTGATGATTCACTCCCCAAGTGACCGCACGTGGGTGCAGGGTCCCAAGGCTTTGGGCCATCCTCGACTGCTTTCCCAGGCCACAAGCAGGGAGTTGGATTGGAAGCAGGGCTCCCAGGACATGAACCGGTGTCCATGTGGGATCCCAGCACATGCAAGGCAAGGACGTTAGCCACTAGGCTACCATTTCGAGCCCAAAATCTTATTTATAAAAATGTGAATCCCAGTGTCATTCTTAGTAATGGGTTAGTTGTTTGCTGCAAGACAATGAAGACCTTGATTTCTTTTCCTGACTTCAAAATTCTATTTTGTTGTAGAGCAGTGCAGTCACTCCCAATTGCTATTTAACATAGGCAGTGTCATGTAAGAAGTAAGGGAAAGAGACAATGGGGGAATTGGTCTTCTCCCAGAGTTGTGAACCTGCTGTTACGTCAGACTTCCTTGGCCAAGAGATATAAAGCAAACTTGAGCCCCATTTGTTTACCAAATTTCAAATTTCCCCTTTTTATTAGTAAACATAAGAAATGTTGCTTTAAATCCTGAAATATCAGGGGAGCCTAGAAAGATAGATTGCCCAGTAACCATGCAATTACTGCTGTAGAGACTGGGACCGTTTTTAGTAGAGATAAGCTGAGAGATTGCCTCCCATATTAGTGATTGAATTAGAAGAGCAGTTATACAAATAAAAATAAATGTCTAGTGAAATGTATATATTATAAAAACATACGTGGATTTTAGAATGTCTTCCTCAAAAATAAAATTTTTAAATTCCATTTTTCCATGGAATTTAATTATGTTTCTGTTTATTTGAAGGGCAGAGTGGTAGAAAAAGAGAGCTTTCATCCTGTGGGTTTACTCCCCAAATGGCTACAATGCCAGGAACTGTATCCAAGTCTCCCACGTGGGTGGCAGGGGCTCTGGTACATGGACCGTCTTCTGCCTTCTCAGACGCATTAGAGAGCTGCATCAGAAGCGAAGGCACAGGGACTCAGCCAGCTCTCTGCCAAGGGATATCTTTTGCTGTCCTAACAAACGTTGGCTTACCTTGTCGTGCCACAATACCAGCCCCTCACTGAACTTTTTGAAGAACCCTTTCTGGAAGTGGGTCTCTTTGGAAGCTGCTCCTTTCCTGTTATCTTTGACTGTCTGAAATTCAGAGCAGGGTTTGTGGCACTGGATATTTATAGGATATGGGATAAATTTAATATCCTTGTCCACTGCAGAAACTGGCTCATGACTAATCAAAGTATATTTAGTGGAGAATATGTTGCAGCATAGCTGGTTAAGCTGTTGATTTGGACACTTAGATCCCATATCAGAGTACTGATTTGAGTCCCACCTACTCTTCATTGAATCCAACTTCCACTTGGGAAGTGGTTTAAGTTGATCCAGGGAGCTGTTCCTCCACTGTCACCAGTCCTGTTGTGAGCTGCCTGAAATGTCTGTACTGTTACAACTTCTAGTGCTGTGCACAAAAGCCATTTCCTTGTCACCAAAGGTGTTACTTAAATAAGCAAGTGTTTAACCTGGTGGTTAAGACACCAGCATCTTGGGCCCAACACCATAGCCTGGTGGCTAAATCCCCACCTTGCCATGTGCCAGGATCCCGTATGGCTGCCAGTTTCCTTCCCAACTTCTCCACTTCCCATCCACTTCCTGCTTGTGGCCTGGGAAAGCAGTTGACTAAAATCCAAAGGCATGGGACACTGCAACCATGTGGACAAAGTTCCTGGCTGTTGGCTTTGGATTGGCTCAACTCCGACCATTGCAGCCACTTGGGGAGTGAGCCAGCAGACAAGATAGCTTTCTGTATCTCCTCTCTGTAAACCTGTTTTCTTGATGAAAATAAAGTAAGTCTTTAAAAAAAGAAAAAAGGACACCGGCATCACACATAGAAGTTCCTAGATTTGATTCCCGAGTTGAGCTTCCCACTACGGCAGACCCTAAGAGGCAGATAGCCCGAGTAATTGGCTGCTGCCTCCCACATAGGAGACTTCAGCCGTTGAGGGCATTTAAAAATACATCTTTAAAAAGTGTAGATATGAAGATTGCACCTGTTTTCAGTAACAGTGAAGCACTGGAGGCAGAGATATAATACCATATTAACAACTAAGATTTTGAATTCTTATGCAGTTTCTTTATCCTACGCAACAAAACCCATAGGTTTGACTTTCTGTTGTTGCAACCACAGCTAATACAACCACTCAAAAAAGATACATGATTTCGTTCACAGTGTGTGATAGAGGCTTGGTTCCCCCGGGTAGATTCCTGCTCTCGGTGTGTGCCCCTTGGCATTGCCGGCAGGAGGGCTGAAGAGCAGAGCAGTTGCTGCCTTGAGATTGAGGTGAGGCAGAGCAGAGCCCTCGGCGCGGTGCCAGCAGGGAGGGAAGCAGATGGATGCTCCAAGGATGGTTTGTGGCTGATCGTCACTATAATCCGAGGGAACAGCGCACCCTTGAGCAGGACAACGTTGAGCTGACACCAAGCGGAACCTCCTAGATGTCGGTTTTCATCCCAGGTGCTTTCTTTGTGTCAGTTTATACAGCTGTGTACATTAGAGTTTATTTTCAGAATACTTTAATTACCAGCGAGAAACAGGCGCAACTTCCAGGTCTGTAGTGCCATACCTTGCCCTTGTTGTTTACCTTTTATCTATATCGTGCAGGGGACATCCCCCTTCCTGGGGCTTCTCATCCAATCCCAAAGGCCTCTCCAGCCTTAGTTTCCCTCTAGTCTTGATCTTGAGTCATTCCACATAATCAGCCAGTCACTCAGACCAAGCTCTTAAGCCTTTAGGACTTTAGTTTAATCCTTGTCGGGTTCTACAGCTGAAATTCTGTGTGTCCTTCCCTCAGGGTGTGTCTGTGCAAGCCGCCTCTTAACATTCTCCACTAAGCCGTTGTAGCCAAGACATCATTTCACACATGAATCGCTGTGGTGGCCACCCAGTTTCTTCCTTCTGTGTCTACTTTTCTCTCTTCACTCTTAGATTGCAGCCAGAGTAGTCATAAATATTAAATTATGTTACTCCCCTGTTTTGTATCTCTTAGTTGTATTTGTTCCCTCAAAGTCCTGATTTCTTTTCCTAATCTGCCAGGTTCACTCTTGCCTTAGAACCTTAAGACGTAACTCCCCCTCCAACTTACACAGATCGTGACTCCAGCATAACCTCTATAAAATAGCTCCCACTTTTTGTTTTTTGTTTTGGTTTTTTCATGTAACTTGTCACCCCATGAAACACATGTTGTTTCTCTTGTTTGCTTTTTGTGTGAGGCAGACTTTTGTCTGATTTTTAGACAGGGAGAGGAAGTTGTACAGTGGATACAACTATTTTGAAAAAGTTTCTCAGCAACTTTTAAAATTTTATTTATTTATTTGTTTGAAACTCAGATTTACAGAGTATAGACAAGATCTTTCATCCCACTAGTTTAGCCCCCAAGTGGTTGCAACAGCCAGAGCTAAGCCAATCCGAAGCCGGGAGTTTCTTCCAGGTCTCCCACATGGGTGTGGGGTCCCAAGGCTTTGGGCCCTCCTCTAATGCTTTCCCAGACCACAGGCAGAGAGCTGGAAGAGGAGAAGTGAAGGAGCTGGTTTATGAACTAGCGCCCCTGTGGGACCCCGGCACATGGAAGGCCAGGACTTTAGCCATTAGGCTACTGCAGCAGGACCTCACAGCAATCTTTAGGCATACTTGTGATAAATGATAAGCATTTATTTGCTTTAATTTACTGCCATCTAAGATATGATCAGAAAAATTCCATCTAAAGCAGTGAGTGAATGGCATAAGAGGTCTTCGCAAAGTTCATAGGAAATGTATAATAAGGAAAAATCTTGTATGCATTTCAAAATTTTTATGCCAAAATAAACTTTAATTCTATGGAGTATGAACTTTTTGAAGTATTCTTATGTGTTTAACTGAGTTCCTTGGCATTCCCCCAAACATGCATTTCATTCTGTGGAGTTCATATATGTTGGTGCTGGCTTTTTCTTCTGCCTTTTGACTGCTGTAATTTTGTAACTGTTAAGGCGCCCTTACTTCGTTCACTTCCTGCCTTGTTCCCTTAAGCTGAGTTTTTGCCGGAGCACTACACACTAGATCTTTGGTATCACTTCTCTGTGCCTGAAGGACAGTGAGGAGACAGCTACACAAAATAGAAACAGGCCAACGTTTCTTGCTTGGAATAGTTTCAAAACCATCTTCAACTTAGTGTCTTCATTATTTACACAAATATAACAAAAATGAGGCATCAGACCATGTGGTTTATTCACTCTTTTCACTCTTAATAGTTTTCAGAAAAAAATTAATGAAAGTTATAATTTACTATTTCCCTTTAATTTTTTACCCCTTATGACCACCACCAAATTCCTGTGAGTTCAGCTCTTTTTGTTAAGATTTATTATTTTGAAAGAGTTGATTCTTCCATCAGATGGCTATTTCTGGGTAGGCAGACTGAAACCAGGAGCTTCATTCAGATCTCCCACATGGGTGTCAAGGGCCCAAAAACTTGGGTCATTCTCTGCTGCTTTTCTCCAGGCTATTAGTAAGGAAGTGGATTGTAAGTGAAGTAGGTGTCCATATGGAATGATGGTGTCACAGGTAACAGTTTTACCTTATGTATCACAGCACTGTCCCTGAGTTCAACTTTTTTATATTCTATACATGAAAGAATACTTTAAAAAGTTTTTGAGTGGGTTAAAGTGCCTACCTGTGATACCCTTGTGGGTGCTAATTCAGGTCTCAGCAGCTCTACTCCAGCGCCTGGCCCCTGTGAGTGCACCTGGGAAAGCAGCGGGAGATGGCCCAAGTCCTTGGGCTCCTGCACCCACAAGGAAAACCTGGGTGAAACTCCTGCCCCCCAACTTAAGCCCTACTCAGTCCTTCTCTCCTTCTCTCTCTGGAGCTCTGCCTTTCAAACAAGTATTATTTTTCAAAAAAAGGAAAAAAGTCCCACTTGTCAACATTTCCACATTGGTGATTAGTTTCCAACACATGAACTTTAGGGGAAACATTCAGATCTTTGCGTGCACTAACTCCTATCAGGAAGAGCTTGCATGTGGAGTAAGTGTAGCACAAGCTCTCTCACCCACACACGCGCACACACACACACATGCACACACGCATTTGTTGAAAACAAAACAGTTACTTTGATATATTGTCTAACAAACTGTATAGTGTACTTTAGGGTTCACTTGGTATTGTACATTTTACAGTTTTTAGTTTTGACAGATGTCCACCACCATTGTGTCATAGAATAGTCTCCCATTGTATCATAATCTTTGTACGATCTCTAGAATGCCATATAGTTGGAATTCTATCCTATATGGCCTTTTTAGATGGACTTTTGTCACTTAGCAATAGACATTTTTACCCTTTGTTCTCCATATTTTGGTAGCTTATTTCTTTTTAACGTTGAAGCATCTTCCACTGTCTGGATGTTTCCTTGTGCTAGGTCTTTTCGTTGGTTTTGCCTGTGTATGAGTGTGAATGTGACTTCAGGCAGTCAGCTTGGTCAGTGAGGAAGCAGGGGGTTGAAATCGAAGGTATCTCTTTGGTCAGTTTTCTCATCTAAGAGGATGGGTGTTCAGCAACGTAAGTCCTGACCCAGCGTTCCTGCTACTTTTCACATCTGATGTTGCCATCCTTTTCTATTGGTTAACCATCTGGTAACAACTCTGTACTCTAGTAATCAGTGTTTTTCTGTGCTGGTCTGGACTGTAAATCTCTAGACGATTTTGACCAGAACAGGTGTCTGTTTTTTCATTGTAATTGAATCTCATTATGAACTGATGGACTATAAAACAAGCTATACCAGCACAAAAGCCTGTTGAGTTAGAGCAGTAAACTTGGCCAAAGACCTTTTTCTCTTGACGTTTCCTTGTGCCGTTTTGTCCTTCTTAGGCCTTTGAACTCGCCACGGGAGACTATTTGTTTGAGCCGCATTCAGGAGAAGAATACAGTCGCGATGAAGGTGAGTAGCTTCCCTGAAGACATCTTTGCAGAGCACAAAGGTTCTGCATGTGGGACTGGCAACCCTCGTTAGCAGTGAGCAGCTTTGCTTGTCTTAGTGTGCTAAGAAATAACAAAAGGTATTTTATCTTAGACATCAGCTTTACTACATTAAGGCTACAGTTGATTAAACTACCATTTCTGATGCCAGGTAAATTTTTCTTCAGCATCTAATTATCTTCCTTGTTGTTTCTGTTAGTGAATCATTCTTTGCCTGGTTTGAATTTACCTGTTCCACCATCCATCACTCAGCCATGCTTCCATCAGTACCTAGAAGTCAGTGCTTTTAGCATTCAAGCACACTACCTTCCCCGGATATAAAACCATGTCCTGTTTATATAAATTTTGCAGCATTTAAAATTTTCCATTTTTCAGAGCTAAAATTATATTTTCTTTCAAAAAGAAACTATAAGGGCTGTAAGCTTTGTGGTGGTCCGTGGGAACAGCTCGTGCTGTCCCTTGCTCCATCTAAGTGGCTGAGGAAGTGCTGTCTGTCTGGTGCTTCCATCAAGGTAACACTAGACCCCTAGAGGAATTAGTGTTCCCTTGCAGGATGGGTGAGGATGGTGAGAGTGAGCTCTGGCAGATCCACTCAATGAGCAGGGGTTTTTTTGAGCTCTCTTTTTCTCAAAATGTGGTCCCTTGGCATAGTAGCAGGCAGTGTCAGTTGGACACACTAATATTACTAACAAGCACTGTTTAGAAGATGGCATAGTTGATAATTTCCATTGCTAAGTGCCTATTTTAGTAGATCGGGTAGGTTTTGAGCACTGTCAGGTGATCAGCCACCTGCAATAAACTCCTAGCCTTCCCAGTCTCCCACTAGTATCCTTGGTTTTATTTATAGCTAAATTTAAACAACTAGTCCTTGAAAAGCTGTTCATAAAAACAAAACAAACAAAAAAAAAACTCTATTACAGCTTGTCTATGATCTTACTGCTCTTGTACCCTTCTATTTTAGACACATTGTAGAGCTGATAGGCAGAATTCCAACAAGCTCTGCCCCAAGAGTGAGTCACAGGACTCGAGCAGAGCTGGTATCATTATGAGACTGTTGTGTAGGCCTCAGGGATAGAGGACTTCAGGAAGCACAACGTTCACATCAGGGTTGCTGTCGGGCCGCACATGGGTGGGCTCCTGGAAAAAAAATGTTTTAAGATTTATTTATTTTTATTGGAAAGTAAGATATGCAAAGAGGAGGAGAGATAGAGAGGAAGATCTTCCTTCTGATGATTCACTCCCCAAGTGAGGGCCACAATGGCCCATCCAAAGCCAGTAGCCAGGAGCTCTTCCGGGTCTCCCACGCAGGTGCAGGGTCCCAAGGCTTGGAGCCGTCCTCCATTGTTTCCCCAGGTCACAAGCAGGGAGCTGGATGGGAAATGGGGCTGCCAGGATTAGAACCGGCGCCCATATGGGATCCCAACACGTTCAAGGCAAGGACTATAGCCATTAGGCTACTGTGCAAGACTAGGGCTCCTGATTTCTTAGGATTTTATTGATTCGCCATTAGATGGATTGATCCGGATTTATCTTCCCAAATAGGACAAAAAAGCAAGCCTGAAAAGCTTTGCAAAGAGCTGTGTGTGTTCTGCACTGGTGCCTGGAGCTGCATTTTTATTCCTGTTAAATGTGTCTTTCTTCCCCACCCCATATGTTTAAAATGTACAGATCACATTGCATTGATCATAGAACTACTGGGGAAGGTGCCGCGCAAGCTCATTTTGGCAGGAAAATATTCCAAGGAATTTTTCACCAAAAAAGGTAAAATATATGTGTTTTTTCCCAAAGGTTTAAAGATGATGAGGTAAGTAGAGCTGGGTACTTGTTCCCAATATCTTGTGAAAATTGGGCCTTGTGGCGAGCTGTAACCTAGAGAAGGGTGAATTAGTGCTGATCGGTGCAGAGAAAGATTTCAAATTTTTGACATTAATAATGTATTTATTATATATTCCAAATAAAACTGAAATGTACAAACCTTTTTAGAAGGATCTGGAAAACTTTCCACATTGTATGGCGATTCCTCCTTTCCTCACAACCTCTATTTAAATTCTATGAAAAATTGATTTTACTCAACTTGTGACAGGAGACAAACCAAGCGATGTTACTCTTTCTTAAGCCTTTTATTGGGTAGGAAAATGGGTGAAGTGCACATAAGAGTTCCTCCTTTTTGTTCAAGGTCAGCTTAACATATGCATGTATACATGGTACGTGATTACATAGGCATCCCTGCACACAGAGGAGACTTTCAGCAAAACTGTTCAGCAACATTCGCCTTGGTACTTGACAAAGAAACAAATACAGATTCAGAGTAACATGCTACTGTACCTACAGTCTGTGTTTGTTCTTTTGCTGCTTTTATAAGTATTTGACCTGGTGTTAACTTTCTGTTTTTAAATTGCTACTTCATTTTGAAGCAGACGCTAACTGGAGTATTGAGCAGTAAGTTGAGAAAATGCAAATTGTTCTTGGTGTATGTTGATAGACTGTCCCTGGGAACCATGTGACAAACTTTTAGGATCTTTTGGAAAATAACATATAATTCTAGACAGGTACTTTGAGTGAAGAGGATTAGATTCTGAGAGCAAGATTCAAATCTCTGTAGACTACCTGGATTAGTTCCTGGGTTTCCACAAGAGAATCTTGACACTTGTCAGTGTCACTCAGTTTTTTTGTGTTGTCTTCACTGCAGGTGACTTGAAACACATCACAAAGCTGAAGCCCTGGGGCCTTTTTGAGGTTCTGGTAGAGAAGTATGAGTGGCCTCACGAAGAGGCAGCTGGCTTCACGGATTTCTTACTGCCCATGCTGGAGCTGATGCCCGAGAAGAGAGCCACAGCCGCCGAGTGTCTCCGGCATCCTTGGCTCAACTCCTAAGGTCCAGTCGGCCCTGCAGCAGAGATGGCACACTGCCTCTCTGCCCCTCCCTCCGAGCTTCCCTTCTCAGGGTGAAGCTCTTCCTTCAGGGGTTTCTCGATTTTTTTTTTCCAATCCACGTGTTCATTTGGGTTTGCTTAGTTGGCCCTGTGGAGATCCCCACACCCGTTGGGCATATCCTAGGTGAATTTGGCCTTGGTTGAACTCTGCCAAAGACTTAACGGACTGAAATGTGAAACAGCCTCTCCCTGCCCTTGCCTTTCCATTAGGATGTTCTTGAAGTTCCAAACATCTTTTTTCAGAAAGAGCTATGAAGATAGATGAACCCAGCCTTTGACTGACTCTGCAAGTTATGTTTTCTAGCACGTGTCGTGTCGCCAGCATCGCCACAAGGAGGGGAAGGGTGTGTACTCTGTGCAGCGGAGACATTAAACTCACTGCATCCAGGCCGCATGGTCTTCCTGGATTGTTTGTTGTTCCCCATGTTCACTTATTTTTTTCCTGCAACTTCCAAGCTACTACCCTTTGAAATGAGCTATACAAACGTTGAATTTAGGTACCATTTTATCATTGTTCAAAGAATCATAAGATTGTTTCATCCTTTACTAAGATCTTTGAATCATCCGTCCGATTTTGAATATCACCAAAAGTGGAACCATTAAGTAATAATTTCTTGAGACCCTCAGGTGTTCTGCAAATAGTCCTTTCCTGTTATCCTGAAAGCAGAGTCATTTTGGCCACTTTTGGGGGTTTTTTGTTGTTGTTGTTTTGTGTTTGTTTTGATTTGTTTTATTTTTTACCATCTCTGGCTAATTTTAATCGGCGCGCTTGAGTGTATAGCCCCGAAACTAAAGGGTCGGGATGACTCTAAAGGGGATCTGGGCTTCAGACCTTTCTCACTCAGCCATGTGCGTACTTTTTGGTCTTTGTTTCATTTTGTGTTTTTTTAAAATGGCTCTCTCTTTACCTTACCTGAAGTTCTGGCCTTGAAGCAGTTTCCCTTGTGGTTCTGCCTTTCTCATTTTCTCAGAGCTGTGGGGTCTTCAACAAGAATCTGAGTAAAAGAACCATGGGAGGGATAGAATGGCACTTTTTGTTGACTATTTTTTTTCTTAGTTTTTCAGGTTAGCCATTCTCTGCTGCTATTTCCTTGTATAATGTAAGTTTGTAACCATGATTTTGAGCTGATTAAGATGTACTTGAGGCTGCTTTTTTTTTTTTAATGAGAAGAAGCTTTTTGAATTTTACTTTAGGGTTGGCTTCTCCTAGACATGACATGTTCCTCAAGTAAAACTAAGAAGCAAAAACAGAGCAGGATTGGGGTCCCAGCTGCTTACTCATCACGGACCGAGTGGGCCTTGGATTACAGCATCCTCCAGAAGCAGCTGTAGGGCTCCATTTCTGGAAAGCCAAGGAGGTGCAACTTGAAGCTCTACCAGGGAGACGCTGGGGAGCCATCTTCCTGTGTGGGAGCCTGGAATAGTTTCATTATCCACCAGGAAAAAGTGGTGCCCCTGGGCCATCCACTTAACTTACAAACTATACTCTGAATAACTGGCCAGCCATTCTTTGGATCCTTGATTGGATACTCCTTAAATCATACATGCTCCTGTAGAAAGAATTTGATGTCAGACTGTCTATGCACCAATCAAGAATGAAGAGACTAGATTGCATCAAACAACGGCAGGGAAATCCTTCAGCAATTCTGATCCACTTACGGTGTTCAGCTGTATTTACATCTAGAGCAATAGCAGACTAGCACTGAATTCTTTTCTACATTGTAAAATCACAGTTGCGGACCACAGGAATTCTGATGAGGCTATTAAGGTGAAATAATAAAAAGAAAGAAACTCACAAGCAAACCAAAGGCCTCATTTTAACAGTTGACAGGAAAATTGTAACAGGAGAGAAAAGCTGTGGCATCATTTCAGAAATGCTTGCCACCAAACAAGGGCTTTTTCCTCCTGTCATGTAAGCAGCCAAATGAATTAGAATTTAAGGAAAGAGGCAGCTGTAGAACTTGATCTTCCAAGTATCCCATGTACCTTTACTGAGCTTAAAGATAATGCTGTCAAAATCATTGCCAAGATCTCACTAAAGGATTTCTATTTGCTATTAGTTAAAAATAAAACCCTGAATACATTTTTATTCTTTCTACTGTGTGCATTGTCTGTTTTCTTTTATAAATACAGTACAATAAACAGATTATTTAATAACCTACATGTTTCTAAAACATTTCTGTTTACTTGCTGTTATGTTACTCATAATACAAAATCGTTCCCCATCAATATCCAACAGCACATAAACGGTTGTGTTTAACTGTGCAGTACTTGATACATGTCACATATCCACACTGTTGACCTGTTGGAGGGACGGGGAGAGGGGGTGGAATTTATCAAACCCTTGCCAGACTTCCCTAAGTAATCCCACTGATGCTTGTGAAATCTGCAGACCTAGCCCTCGCAGGCGGAGGAAACAGCGCTGTTGTCGCAATGCTTGCAGCCATCCCAAAAGATCTAAGGAATTGTCCACAGTTGCTCCAGAGCAGTCCAAGGTTATGAACAACTTCAGTGTTACCCATACTCTCACTCTTGAATCCTGTATGTTCAGCCTTAGGAGGAAAATGGGAAATGTGTGACAGCAACAGGGAAAGTTAGTCACACTAGTCGTTCAGAACCCCTTGTGGCTTTGAACATTAGTATAGAAAGATCAAGGTAAAACTCCAGTCCCATTAACCAAAGACATTGGGTTTTGTCAGTTTCTTAGTAGTTTTAATACTACTGCTAATGTTTTGGGGGACAGTGTCCTGTTTTTCTGGTTGATTCTCTGCTTGCATCAGCTGCAGGCTAGTTCAAGTCCCAGAAGTTCCACTTCCATCCAGCCCCCTGCTAATAGCCTGAGAAAGCGCAGGATGGCCCAAGACCCACATAGGAGACCTAAAAGAAGCTCTTTGATCCCAGCCCAAATCTGGCTGTTGCGATTTGGGGAGTGAACCAGCAGATAGGAAATCTCTGTCTCCTTTTCTCTGTAATTCTGCCTTTCAAAAAATTTCTTTTAAAAAGTTACATATCTCTGCCATCACAGAAACACTAGTTAAATCCTATTGTAATTTGATTTCTTTAAAAGATACAGGGCAGGAGAAACGGATCCCCATCAGCTGGTTCACTGCCCCAGTGGCTATACCAACCAGGGGTGGGCCAGGCTGAGGCTGGGAGCCGGAACCTTCTGTGTCTCCCACATGGCTGCAAGGTTCCCAAGCACCTAGCCATCTGTTTTTCCCAGGCCATTAGCAGGGAGCTGAATCAGAAATGGAGCAACCAGAACATAAACCAACAGCCAAAAGGGATACTAAGGATGCAAGCAGTGGCTTTACCAGGAGTCCAGTTAAGAGCCAGAAAAAATGTGAGACCATGCTATGTGTTCAGGGATTTTAAGTGAGATGCAAGCTTTTGGCCCAGCAGTTAGGCCACCGCTGGGAACTCCTGGATCATATATAGAGACCCTGGAGTATGAATTCCAGCTCCACTTACAATTTATCTTGGCAGTGGTTGTCCTAAGAGGCAGCAAGCGCTGACCCAAATGGGAGACCTGAATTGAATTTGGGTACTCCTGGCTTTGACTTGGCCTAGCATTGAGGGGGTACATGGGAAGTGAACCAGCCAGCTGCGAGATCTCAGTTTCTCTAATTGTGACTTTAACATAAGTAAATCCTTTGAAAAAAATATATCCAGTGCAGTCTCTTGAACAGAGCAATGATTTAGTGGTATCTAAAAGGCAGTCACTATTACCAGGCTGAACTTTCGTTTGCTTGAAGACAAAGCAAGCCATGGTCTGTGTCATACAACTCCCTTCCCCATCCGTATTCATTGGCCAAGATGACTCCTGCTTTAATGAGGTGAATCCCAGCAAGAGCAGAGATGGGCTGTTAGCTGGATGTACCTGAAGTTCTCCAGTTGACAGCAGAAAGACTTTAGGAGCTTTCCTTGTACCTCCTTTAAATAAATAGAAATAGCCCTTCAAATTACAGAATCTGTCAAGTTCTGGAATCAACTTGTGCAGCGTAAAAAATCTGAATCAGCAAAAGACAACAGGGATGTTGTCTTAAAAAGTCGCTATGGGGGGCCCGGCACAGTGGCACGAGTGGTTAAGGTCCTCGCCTTGCAACCCAGGATCCTATATGGTCGCCGGTTCTATCCCAGCAGCCCTACTTCCCATCCAGCTCCCTGCCTGTGGCCCGGGAGAGCAGTCGAGGACAGCCCAAAGCTTTGAGACCCTGCACCCGTGTGGGAGACCTGGAAGAGTCTCCTGGCTTCAGATCGGCATAGCATCGGCCGTTGCGCTCACTTGGGGAGTGAATCATCGGATGGAAGATGTTCCTCTCTGTCTCTCCTCTCTGTATATCTGCCTTTCCAATAAAAAAATAAATAAAAATCTTTAAAAAAAAAAAAAAAGTCACTATGGGGCCAGCTGAACTGGCTGATTCTCTGACTTGCAGTGCCAGCATCCCATATGGGCAACAGTTCAACTCTTGGCTGCTTCACTTTAGTTAATTAGTTATTGGAAAGTCATATACAGAGAAGATCTTCTGTCCAATGGTTCACTACCCAAGTAGCTGCAATGACTAGAACTGAGCTGATCTGAAGCCAGGAGCTTCCTCCGGGTCTCCCACAAAGGTGCAGGGTCCCAAGGCATTGGGCCATCCTCGAATGTTTTCTCAGGCTACAAGCAGGGAGCTGGATGGGAAGCAGGTCCACCGGGATTTGAACTGGCATACATATGGGATCCTAGTGCGTGCAAGGTTATGACTTTTAACTGTTAGACTACTGCACCGAGCCCTGTGGCTCCACTTTCAGTCCAGCCCCCTGCTATGACCTGGGAAAAACAGTGGAGGATGGTCCAAACTCTTCAGTACCTGCGTGGGAGACAGAGAGGGCTCCTGACTCCTGGTTTCAGATTGGATCAATTCTGTCCATTTTAGCCATTTGGGAAGTGTACCATTGGGTGGAAGATCTTCCTGTCTCTCTATAAATTGGCCTTTCCAACAAAAAATATTTTTAAAATAATGTTACTCTGTGTGTGTGGTGGGCTTCATATCGGAGTGCTTGTTTGTGTCCCAAATACTCTGCTTCTGATCCAGCTCCCTGCTAATATGCCTAGGAAGCTCAGGTAGGTAGTTCCTTGCCAGCAACATGGGAGATCCAGAAGTTCCTGGATCCAGGTTCAGTCTGGCCTAGCCCCAGGTGTTGCAGCCATTTGAGGAGTGAACTTGCAGATGGAAGATACCTCTGTCTCAAAGAAGTCATTAGGGAAGAGCCTGGTATGGCAACTCAGTGGCTAAAGTCTTCACCTCGAAAGCACTGAAATCCCATATGGGTGCTGGTTCTAATCCCAGTGGCCCTGCTTCCCATTGAGCTCCGTGCTTGTGGCCTTGGTCCATGCTTGGGACCCTGCACCAGCGAGGAAGACCTGGAAGAGGCTCTAGGCTCCTGGCTTCAGATTAGCGCAGCTCCGGCCTTTGCAGCCACTTGGGAAATGAATCATCAGATGAAAGATCTTCCTTTCTGTCTCTCCTCTCTATATATCTGACTTTGCAATAAAAATAAATCTTTAAAGAGCAAAAGTCATTAGGGGAAAATATGCTATGAATCAAGTATCAAAAATTAAACCCCATTATAATAGATTTCTTCATCAACCATTGAATAGGAATAGTCCTAGTATACATTCCTAGCCTACCTGAAAAGAAGATAAAGCAACACAGACTGGGCAGGTTGTTGGGGAACAGAGGTTAGACAAAGGCCAACAAGGAGGAAAGAACTCCCTGCGTTACCGTGGCTGGAGCAAGCGTAGCATTCGTTGCAGTTTTGTTCGTTACTCTGGACAGACCAGATCTTGCTTCCCAGAGATAACCAACGAAACCCTGTCTCAGGAGTCTGTCTTGCAGGCAGAGAATAGTCTGAGGACACTGCCCTCGTCTTGGCATTTACCACCTAAACTGCAGTTGCCTGCATGCTTGTGAATATGCAAAATCCAAAGCTCACGACAAGAAAAGTCATCTTCCCATTACCAATTCCTTGGCTGTAAATCACAACTTCCTGAGGCTGGGAGTCAGTGCTGGTTTGATGCATGGATATAATGAGGAATTGTGGATTGGTTGGTAGTTTTGTTTTTGTTGGCTGGTTGGTTCCCAGAGGGGAAAAGTCAAATTACTCTCAAATTAGTTTTGTTGGGGTTTTAAAAATATTTATTTGATAAGATACAAAGATTGCTCCCTTCTGCTGGCCCACTCTCAAATGCCCACGAACAGCTCATCCGGGCTAGACTGAAGCCAGGAGCCAGGAACTCGATCTGGGTGTCACGGCTGACAGGGACCCAACTACCTGAGCCACAGAGTACACATAGGAAACTGGAGCCAAAGCAGAGGCGGGCCTTGAACCTGCTGTGTCAACTGCTGTGTCAACCGCTGTGTTCCTCGGGCTTTCTGGGCTTCTGTAGGTCTTCCATTCACCCAGTCCCTCCAGAGACTGGCAGGCACTTCCAGGACTCTGTTCTGGCAGCCCCTACAGTCCTTACCCTTCTCTCAAGAGCACTCAGAAAAACACAGGAAGGGAGAAGCAGTGCCCCCATACACCTGAGCAGGCCATGTAGAACTGGTTGGGCCGTCCAGCTGTCAGAAGTCCCTTCCAGGATGACTGCCACCCAGCCCTCTTGGTGGAGAGGAGGGACTGCTTGAGGTGATTTCCTGGGCGAAGGGCTACGAGAGGCCATGGGTCTGCATGGTTCTGCTTCACTGCAGGCAGTTCTCTACAGGCAGCCTAGGAGGCCCTCATGTTACCCCACAGCATCAGTCCACCAGCAGCCAACCACGGGGGCCACTGACGAAGGAAACTTGAACTCGGAAGAATCACACCCTCTCATTTTCCACTGTCCGGGAAATGGGTGACCTGTGGTATTAGAAAAAAAAGGGGGGGGCAAGATTATAACATTTGGCATCTCTAAAAAAAGATTGATTTGTTCAACTGAAAAGCAGAGTGATAGAATTTTCCATCCACTGGTTCACATCCTGAAATGCCTCTCAGCCATGGCTAGACCAGAATGAACCAAGGATTCAGAAACTCTGTCCGCACCTCCAAAGTATGTGGGCCATCGTGTGTTGCTGCCGGGAGCGTTATTAGTAGGAAGCTGGATCAGAAGTGGTGGTGCCAAGACTTAATCCAGCACTCTGACACTGCATACACACTTCCAAGCTGGGGTGTAACTTGCTGAACCATGGCACCCATCCCAAATTTGCCACTTGTAAAAGCCAATATTTTTTTTAAAAAATCAATCTATTCTCACATATTGACTTCAGTCTACCAAGACAGAATTTCCTCATTTATGCTCTCTGTGTCTTTTTATTGTCATTTTTAAGATTTATTTGTATTGGAAAGGTAGATCAGATTTACAGAGAGAAGGAGAGACAGATCTTCCATCCACTGGTTCACTCCCCAGATGGCCACAACACCCTGAGCTGAACTAATCAGGAGCTCTTCCAGGTCTCCCATGCAGGTGCAGGGTCCCAAGGCTTTGGACCGTCCTCGACTGCTTTCCCAGACCACAAGCAGGGAACTGGATAGACAGCGCAGCAGCCGGGACACAAGCTGGTCCTGTGTGGTTGCCCATTAACCTGCCACCCTAGTGGAAGGCCTGTGTTGAGTTCCTAGCTCCTGATTCCTCCCTGGCCCTGGGCAGTAGAAGTTGTGGGCATTTGGATGAAGGAACCAGCCAATGAGAGCACTCTTATGACCTCTGGCTCTCAATTATTTGCAAAAAAAAAAAAGAGTTCCCAGTGAACACCGCGGAAACTTGAGAGGAAAAATTAAACTACTCCTTTCTATTCCGGGGGCCGGTTAGAAGTGCAGTGACTTAAAATTCTTCCTGAAAATGAGGATCCCCATGGTAACACTGAAGTCTGCTCCCATTTGCCCAGTGCCCTCCAAAAGACAAGCCCATAAGACATGAAAGCCCCACCTGCTGGCAGTTAGCACTTCTCCTGTCACCTTGCACACTGCAGGCCACCAAGAGTACAAGGTGCTTCCAGAGGTCAGATAGCCCCTGTTCCCCTCATTGGCCACAGAATGCTGACCGCAGCCCTGCAACCTTGCAACCCAGCCTCATGGGTCACTGGGTGTGCAGCAGGAAGGGGAGAAGCCCACCTGGCAAAGGCATATCTCACCTGGCTTTGAACTTCAGCACTTCACACTTCCTCTGTAACAGAAGAGGAAGAGGTTTATGCTTACAACAAAGCTTTGTGCATAGGCCCCTTCCCTGCCCACCACCCCAAGTTACACCACGTTCCTCACTTCCACTCCCAAAAAGCTTGCACTTCTTCTTGCTAAGTCAGTTTGAAATCCTGGGAGGCATGACAGCCTCCCTTCCCAGGGAAACATTGGAAGTTTCACAGTGGAAACGCTGACATTCACTGCTCTACTTCCAGGACCTAAAGGAGCCGGTGGGCACCCAGAGCACAGAGCTGCTGGGGAGAAAGAGGCACAGAGCCAACGGAGGTACCAGCCAGACAGGGCAGGTGCTGCCAGCGCTATATATGCACCACCCCAGGCTTTCATGTTTTGTTCATCTACTTCCCTAACACGAAGCTTACCCAAATAAGGTGGACTCCAACTGACTTTTCTAGTAGTGTGTTCTAGTGTGTTCTTTGGGAGAAGACAGGAGAACTGTATGGAGTAAGTCACCTCTCTCCCCGCCCCATGCACTGAGAGGACAGAGGTGGGCAGATACCTCTCTACCATCAATAGGTCTCCTGGCACCTGGTCATCCAAAGCCTGCCACCTGCCCCTGGCCTTTACCCTCGGGAAGGACAAAAGTTATGACTGTTTGGCCTTGGCGTCCCCATCCCTTGCCCAGGAGCCAGACAACTAGCTTTCCTTGCAACCTTCCACCGCCAGGCAGGGACCTCGTGGTGAGGAGAAAGGTACCTTTTCCGTCTGCCTTGTAGTCGTCAGGGAGGAGCTTGTCCTGCCGGTAGCCCAACACGAACGCCAAGAAGGAGAGGATGAGGGCATCGCCAATGCTGAGGATGGCCAGCATGAAGGCCCAACGGATGGTGCAGTGGCCCAGCGTGTACTTGCCTGTCTGCTCCCCGCACATGCGCCGTACCTCACTTGAGTCCCAACCATCTGGGTAGACCAGACAGCCGATCATTAGGCCTGTGGCTGAGGGAACAAGAGGGGTTGTAGATGAGGTGAGGTTGCAGGGAACTGGCTTTCAAACAGCCTGGAGAAGCATGAGATGCAGCTCCTATGCAGCCTTCCTGTAGATCTCAGCAGGGGAAGCCACTCCCAGGTGGGCTCCAGGCTGGCAGCTGGGGGCAGATGCAGGGAGCTGAGCTCTCAGGCTCAACCACACGGGATCTGCCCTGGACCAAGGGGGCCTAGCACGCATCAGCCATACTCTTCACCCTGGCCTCAATGAGGCACTGCCTCGTCTGGCTTCTGACCCTCAGATGCTGGCTGCAGCCCTGAGACTGTGATATACATTTGTTCATAGCTCAACATCTCTAAAGTGTAATCAGAAAATGTCAGGACCCCGGCGCTGTGGTGTAACAGATTCAACCACCACTGCCTATTCAGCCGGCTTCCCATTTGGGTGCTGATTCTAGTTAGACTGCTCTATTTCCCATCCAGCTCCCTGCTAATATGCCTGGGAAAGCAGTGGAAGATAGACTGGGGGTTGGAGCCCCTGCACCCATGTAGAAAACTGAGAAGAAGCTCCTGGCCCACCCCTGGCTATTTTGACCATCTGGGGAGTGAACTAGCAGATGAAAGATCTCTTTCTGTAATTCTAACTTTTAAATGAATAAAATAATCCTGAAAAAAAAAAATAGGAAGCAAGCAAGCACCAGGCCACAGTTTGGTCGCTAGCACTTTTCCTTTTCACAGAGCATAGCATATGGGGACCTGGAACTCAGCCATTGTGGAGCTTGGATACTGGGAGGCTTTCCAGCCTCAGCCCTGGCTGCATTGTCATGAACTTTCTACCCAAACAGGTTTTTCCCCTTCTCTGATTCCACACAGTGCAGCTGCCCTCATTGCCTTAAATCCAAGAATTTTCTGCAAGATTTCAAATGTTTATTCCCCTGTGGCCAGACAGCAGCAGACAAACCCTGGAATGTAGACAGCCTGTGATAGTGTTCTGTAAAACTTAAAGGAATAAATGAATGTGTGAATTAACAACAACAAAAAAATGTTGATTCCCAGGTCAGGACTCAGCATGCATTCCAGAGGCAGTATTTAGCACAGGAGCTAGGATCCCACTCACGGTAATCCATCAGTGTGCAAGCACCAGGATCCCAAATGGGCGCCGGTTCCAATCCCGGCAGCTCTGCTTCCCATCCAGCTCCCTACTTGTGGCCTGGGAAAGCAGCAGAGGATGGCCCAGGACCTTGGGACCCCTGTACCTGGAAGACGTTCCTGGCTCCTGGCTTCAGATCGGCCTCAGCACTGGCCACTTGAGGAGAGAACCAGCAGATGAAAGACATTTTTCTCCTTATCTCAGTAAATCTGTCTTTCCAACAAAAAAATAAGTCTTTTCAAAAGATTTATTTATTTTTTCTCCAAAGTCAGATATACAGAGAGGAGGAGAGACAAAGAGGAAGATCTTTCATCCGATAATTCACTGCCCAAGTGGCCAGAACAACTGGAGCTGAGCCAATCCGAAATCAGGAGCCGGAGCTCTTCCGGGTCTACCACATGGGTGCAGAAACCCAAGGCTTTGGGCCATCCTCGACTGCTTTCCCAGGCCACAAGCAGGGAGCTGGATGGGAAGTGGGGCTGCCAGGATTAGAACCGGCACCCTTATGGGATCCCGGCTTGTTCAAGGCAAAGACTTTAACCACTAGGCTATTGTGCTGGGCCCAAAAAATATATAAATCTTTTTTGAAAAAAAGATCCCACTTGGGACCCCTACATCCCATATCAGAGTGTGGGATTGAGTGTCAGCCCTGCTCCTAACTCCAGCCTCCTGCTAATGTGCCACCCTGGGAGTGGCAATGGACTCAGCACCCAGGTCCCTGCCGCACACATGCCTCCTGGCTTTGGCTTAGCCCAGCCCTGGCAGCCACAGGCATTGTGGAGTGAAGCAGCTCATGATAGCTCCATCTCTATCTCTCTGCCTCTCAAATAAAAGGCTTTTAATTTTTAAGAGGAACATTTATTTGAGAAGCAGAATAACAGAGAGACACAGACACACAGAGAAACACACATCTTTCTATCCTCCGACTCACTCCCCAACAGGCAGGGCTGGGCTAGGCTGAAGGCAGGAGCCAGGAACCTCATTCCACTTCCTGCATGGATGCCAAGAGCCCAAGCACCTGGGCCATCTTCCACTGCCTTTCCCTGTGCGTCAGCAGGGAGCTGGATGGGAAGCACAGTGGCAGGAACTTGAACCTGCACACTGATATGTGCCAGTACCACACCAGTATCACAAGCAGGGCTTAACCCACCGTGCCACAACGGTTGTCTCGATACACGTTTGAAACACGCAGTGCAGTGATATGTAAAGACCAAAGTCCCACCTCCCCGTCTCCATGGGTCAGCCTTCCTCTGATGTTTCCGAGAGCAGCTCATTTATCCGGCTCCTTGACAGATCACAGAATATTCCATGCACCATCTTGACCCTGACACAAATTCTTCAGCAAAGTAAGTTGACCATTCATATCCCCATTTCACAGGTTAGAAAACTGAGAGCAGTGAGAAACCAAAGTCCCACACCGATCATTAGCTATAGCAGAGCCAAGACTCAAATTCCCTTCTGACTCCTGACTTGAGAGTTCGTTCTCTCCACTGCCAGAAGGCGAGCTCTCCAGAGGGCTGGAATTACTGAGCAGTGACATCTTAGACTTCTTGAGAACCTTGACAAGCGTATCAGGAAGATGCAGAAGGTGAGGGCGAGGCGTCTGTGTAGCCAGGTGCTTCGCCACCTCGTGTGAGTGGCAGGCACAGCCTATCACTCTAACGGGGGCTCCGTACAGGTGAGGGGGGCAAGAAGCCACCCCACGGCATGCACACCCCTCCCTTTGCCCCCTTCTCCTTCCACAGCATCTTCCTGGTTGGGATGGGTCCAGAAAGAGATCCAGGGCTTCTGAGTTGGAAGCAAACTGTGACTGGAGGTTCCCCAGTGACACCCCAGGAGCACCCCACTCACCCACACTCCTCTCTCTAGATACACCGGGCTGCCCCAGGGCGCTCCATGGAGACATCCTGGTGCTCTGGGCCAGTTCACTCCTCTTTTCTAGCCTCTGTTCTCTCATCTGTAAAATGGAGCTGACGTTTAACTCATGTCAGAGTCGCAAGAACTGAGTATGAATCCCATACAGAAAATGGCCACAGTGGTGTCTCCTGCACTATGTGTGGCCGAGTGATGTGGGGCATGGCTACCACTGGCACAATGTCAGACAGAAGCCACTCCAGAGGTGTGGCTGCCAGGTGCTTGGCAGGCCTATGTATCCCACCCTCTTCCCATGGGGTTGGGCATGGCATATAACTTCCTTTATCCAATAAGAGGCGAACAGAAATGTGCATTATCTCCAGGCTGCCCTTGAATGCTAGTAGAAGACCTTCCCCACCTGTTCTCTGCAGGTTCTCTGCAGTGACCACAGCCAAGGGCAGCTCATGTTAATGGCTGTGTGCCATAAGCAGGTAGTAGGCCTTTGTTTTAAGCCCCTGTGATTCTTGTACCACTTCCCAGCTCGACTGGTAAAGCATTTGCTGTGTTTTTCACATGGGTGCCAGGCACAATGCAAGGGGTTTCCCACACAGGATCTCATGAGCATCTCAGGGAGAAGACACACAGCAGCCACCCCATGCCACCTGGCCCTGACCTCCTAAATCTCCTTGAGCACTGCTGGCTGCAGCCCTGCAGCGCTCCACCCACTCCTTGCTCCGGGGCTTCTTGGCCGAGTGTGCTAACCAGCCTAGGTGGCTTCAGGTAGATGCCTCTCCCAGCTCTTGGCTGTGGGGCACACCCTCACCTCGTCTCCTGCACCCCACTCATCCTCCCTTCCCAGCACAGCGAAATGGAATACGACACCACCTTTATTTATGCCTATCCCCAATATAAATGTTTCATGAGGTGGCACCTGGCCACCTCTGCTATCAATGTCTCCAGCTCTGTGACCCAGATATAAACGACTCAAATCACCTGGGCCTGCTCAGCAGGTGACACCTGATGCAGGGTTTTGGCGGTGGAGGGGGGCGGGTAGTTGGGGAGCCGGGGGACAGCATTGAGAATGTGCGGAGGGTCAGGGGCCAGCTTCCCGTAGCCCTGGCGTGAAGGGCCCTGGCAGAGCGCACCAGCTGGATGGCAAGTGAAGGCCCATTCTCTAAAACACAAAACCACTTCATCTTCAATTTCCCTTCTTTCTCTCCTCCGTCCACTAGAGATGGCCTCACACCTGCTCTGGCTTCTTTTAATCCACAGGGAGATTAGAGAGAAGGAGAACAGTGGGAAGGTTTGGGAGGTGGAGCCAGAGGGGGATGGACTCCGGGCAAGTTTGGGAATCAAAAAGTTGGCCTCTTGTAATAGGTGTGCTCAAGGGCCGGTCGGCTCCCAGGAGCACTGTCTGTCAAACAGAGGAGCTGCACTCGCTGGGCTGGGCTCCGGCTCAGCAGGCCCATATGTGATTCAATATAAACACACACTTTAGAGTACCTTTGTTTCCCTGGGCCCTATCCCCATCCTCCATCACCAGCTGATCTGACACAGCCTTGGCCAAGCCTGATCTCAGATTCCTCATGTAGAGTCGGGGGCTGGGAAGGGTGGAGGCCAATTTCCCCTCTAGCTCTGTAGTCTGTGCACTCAGTGGCCTCAGACTAAGCCTCTGGCTTTACTCTGCCTGTTAAGATAATACAGCACGCCTGGCATGATGACTCAATGGTTCAATCCTCACCTTGCACATGTTGGGATGGGCACAGATTCATCCCCCTGTTATTCCACTTCCATTCCAACTCCCTGCTTGTGGCTCGAGAAAGCAGTGGAGCACGGCCCAGAGCCTTGGGACCCTGCACCCATGTAGGAGTCTCAGAAGAAGCTCTTGGCTCCTGGCTTCAGATCAGTTCAATTCTGGCCATTGCAGCCATTTGGGAAGTGAACTGGCAGACAGATCTTTATTTCTGTCTCTCTTTTTCCTCGTAAATCTGATCTGCCTTTTCAATACAAATAAATAAATAAATATTTTAAAAATAAATAACAGCTTCTCATTCTAGCTAGCAACCCCAGGGTGTCTTTCCTGTACCTCCAGGCCCCAGTACTGCCCCTATGAGCAGTGTGAAAAATCTTAATGCCGAATTGGCATGGGCACAGACTGAGGCACCTGAGGCTGCAGGACAAGGTCCTGGGCCCTCCCTGAGCTCCCCAGGCCCAAGGGATGTGCCTGGGACCTGAAGCAGGGGGAAAGGTGGGCAAGGCCTTGCCCCGAGCACCACACCAGGCTTCCTGCTCCAGCTACCGAGCTTTCGACACCCTGCATGGCCTCCCTCCAGCTCACGGAGCATCCCTCCCTTTGCTGGCTTGCATAAGGAGCCCCTTAACCGCGGCTCAAAGACTCAGCACTCCTCAGAGACAGAGCAGGCTCAGCATGATGGTAACACTTCAAAATCAATGACCAACCCTGGCACTTTCCTAAGAGCAGTTTGGGGTAGAAAGGAAGGAGTGGGGACAGTTGGGCGTCTGGACACTATTCAAAGAAGAAAAAATGGAGCCAATTCCCAAATGGTGCTGGTTCAAGTCCCAGCTACTCTACATCCAATCCGATTCCCTGCTCATGGTTTAGGGAATCAGCAGTAGATGGTTCAAGTCCTTAGACCCCAACACCCCACAACGAAGACTCAGAAGAAGCTCCTGGCTTTGGACTAGCCCAGTTTTGGCTGTTGTGGCCATTCATTTGGAGAGTGAACCACTGGATGGAAGATCTCTCTGTGTGTCTCTCCTTTTTTTCCTCTGTAACTGTTTTTTAAATTAAAAAAGGAGAACACTGCCCAGAAGCTAGAGATGCGCATAACACCTCTATCCTGTGTTGGGCAGTGTTTGATTAACATCTCTATTCTGCTTGGGGTTAGGCCCTATTCCCACATGGCAGACAAGGCATGCTTCCTTCTTTCTCATTCCTGGAGCTGCAACAGCCTCCAGCGCCATGGCCTAGGTGTCCTGTGTGCCCTGGCAAGTCACTGTCCCTCTCTGGGCTCCCAACCTCAGCAGTAAGATGAGTGGATAGAACACTAGGTGCTCTCTGCTGCAGCCCTGCTGAGGTGCGTCAGAACCCCCCCGCAAAGCACCGCGGAAGGTGCTGAGTGTCGGGGCCGGAGCCTCCACCTTGGGGCCCCTGCCTTCCCCGCGCCCCTGCTCACCCGCAGCCAGCTGCATCCACGCGCAGATCTTGTACACTGTGGCGGTGTTGCAGATGAAGAACAGACTGAAACAGATGATGGAGCCTATGATGAGGAACATGGCTAAGGCCACAAAGAACATGGCTGTCTTGAAGGCCCGGGAGGGGATGGAGGAGAAGTCCAGGGGGCCGCCCTTGCAGATGAGCTCGGAGGACAGCACGTTGCCCACGCAGTAGGAGAAGAGGCCGAAGTAGCCTGCCTGCGGCGTGCTGACGCTGTCGCCAATCCAGTAGGGCTGGATGAAGAGCGCCATGACCAGCACCGAGAAACAAATGGTAAGTGTGCCCCACATCACGCCCACGGCGCGTGCGTTGCGCACATAGTTGGTGTGGTAGATCTTGGCGGCCTCCTGGGCCGGCAGCAGCTTCACCATGGTGAGGGCTCGCCTCTAGAGGAGGAGGGCAAGACCCCAGAGATGGGTGACTCCTCAGCTGGGCTTCGTGAAGAGGACCAAAGTCACGGTCCAAGGTGAAGGTCCCACCAAGGTTGGGAGATAGAGACTGGAGAGGGACAAAGTCAGGCTCGGCCTCGGCCGGGGAGACGTTCGCCAGCAGCTCCGGTCGGACCTGTCTGTAGCCTCCGGCCTCCTCTGCGGCCGCGGCCAAGGTCTCCGGCCTGCGGCGCCGCCCAGCCCGCTCCCCTCGTCCCCTCGTCCCCTCGTCCCCTCGTCCCCTCGTCCCCTCGTCCCCTCGTCCCCTCGTCCCCTCGTCCGCTCCGGGAGCCCCGCCTGTCCGCCGCCCGGGGCCCAGGGCGCGCTTCAGCACCGCGGACAGCGCCCGGGCGCCGGGGCGGGGCGAGTGGTCCCCACGCCTGCTTCTCAAGGAGGGGGCTGCGGATGCCGCCCCGGCTCCTCCCAGCCGCAAATCCACTCCCCTCGCAGCAAAGCACCGCCCATCCTCCCTCCTGCTCCAGGTTCTCCCGCGCTCGCCAGGCCCCCTCTCCATCCTCTTCCGAGGCCAGCAAGCTTCCTGTCTCTGTCCTGCGGTTGGCCTGGCTTTGAGTCCATATCTGTCACACAATTACTGAGAGCCTACTGTGTGCTGACGCCTGTGCTGGAGACAAGACCAAATCACAGATTTGGACTTAGGGCTTAGACAGGCCTGAGTTGGTACCGACCAGGTGCTGGCTAAGTAACCATCTGGGAATATAACTTTCCCGAGCGTCTGTTTATCAGGGGGCTGATGACAGCATCTGTCACATAAGGTTAGGTAGAATAACTTACGAAAAATGTTGGCTTCAGGGCTTTATGTATCAAAGTCACTTAAAGTGTTGATTTTTATTATTAGGACATCCAGTAACATTTCTCTGCACTTTCATTTTTTCATGAACACTGCTTTCCACAACTGGATAATAGTGCCTATAAATTTTTTTTTAAGATTTATTTTATTTTTATTGGAAAGGCAGATATACAGAGAGGAGAGACAGAGAGGAAGATCTTCCGTCCGATGATTCACTCCCCAAGTGAGCGCAACGGCCGATGCTATGCCGATCTGAAGCCAGGAGCCTCTTCCAGGTCTCCCACGCGGGTACAGGATCCCAAAGCTTTGGGCCATCCTCGACTGCTTTCCCGGGCCACAGGCAGGGAGCTGGAAGGGAAGCGGGGCTGCCGGGATTAGAACCGGCGCCCATATGGGATCCCGGGGCGTGCAAGGCGAGGACCTTAACCACTGCGCCACCGTGCTGGGCCCATGCCTATAAATTTTGTATACAACTTTTTCATTCAGTGTTATACCATCAATATTTTTTCATTTTACCTTTTTCAAAAACATGACTTTAGCTATTGTAGAGTGAGGTGCAGGGTACCACATGCCATAATTACTTAAAATAAATTCTTGGGCCTGGCATGGTGGCCTAGCGGCTCAAATCTTGGCCTTGAAAACACCAGGATCCCATATGGGTGCCGATTCATATTCAGACTGCTCCACTTCCCATCCAGCTCCCTGCTTGTGGCCTGGGAAAGCAGTTGAAGACAACCCAAAGCCTTGGGACCCTGCACCCGCATGGGAGACCCGGAAGAAGCTCCTGGCTCCAGATTGGTGCAGCACCGGCCGTTGCAGTCACTTGGGGAGTGAGTCATCGGAAGGAAGATCTTCCTCTCTGTCTCTCCTCCTCTCTGTATATCTGACTTTGCAATAAAAATAATTTTTTTAAAAAAATTCTCCCTTTTCCCAAAGTGTTTTTGGCACTTGCCAGCCTTGAAAAACAGCCCTGCCTTGAACAGGTTTGCACCATTTCCTGTGTTTGCTCCTCTCTTTAAATCCATTTACTTTTGTGACCAGTCTACCCTGTCAGCTTGGGACAGAGCCCTTACCTCTGCCATCAGATTGGGTGCTCCCCCAGAGCAGAGGTGGCATCTTCCCTAAGAGCAGGTGGGTGACTCTTGTTTGACCGGCCTGGCACACTAAGGTTCTGGTGAGCAAGTCAATCAAAGGACATGCGGTCCCTCTAGAAGGGACTGCTGTGTGGCCCAAGGCCATCCCTGCCTCCCCCAGGGAACCGAAATTGGCATGAAGCGGAAATGTTGCTTATTAAGAAGCAATCCATGTGTGCCTCCCACTCAGCCACTTTGACTCCTGCCCCACCTCACCCAGCTCTGTGACCCACCTGACAGCCATCCGTTTCCTTTTGCTTTCATTAGCCAAAGTGGGCTTTGGCTTGTCAGCAAAAACCTCTCTATTCTAAATTGTTGGCACCAGAAAGGGTGTTCCAGCTTATGTAAAGAGTTTTTTTTTTTTTTAAAGATTTACTTCTTTTTATTGGGAAAGCATATTTACAGAGAAAAGGGAAGAGAGAAAAAGATCTTCCATCCACTGGTTCACTTGCCAAATGGCCAAAACAGCCGGGGCTGAGCCGATCTGAGGTCAGGAGCCAGGAGCTTCTTCTGGATCTCCCATGTGGGTGGGAGATGGTTCCAAGGCTTTGGGCCTTTCCCAGGCTTTCGCAGGCCACAAACAGGGAACTGCTTTCTCAGGCCACAACAGGGAGCTGGGTGGGAAATGGAGCAGCTGGGACATGAACCAGCGTTCATACGGAATGGTGACATTTGCGGTTGAAGGATTAACCAGTTGAGCCACTGTACTACTGGTGCAGGATTTTTTAAATTATTATTTATTTTTATTGGAAAGGTAGATTTACAGGGAGAGAGAGAGAAAGATCTTCCGTTCACAGATTTACTCTCCAAGTGGCCACATCAGCTGGAGTTGAGCTGATCTGAAGCCAGGAGTCTCTTCCAGGTCTCCCACACTGGTGCAAGGTCCCAAGACCTTGGGTTGTCCTCCACTGCTTTCCCAGGCCACAGGCAGAAAGCTTGGATAGGAAGTGGAAGAGCCAGGACATGAACTGGTACCTATATAGGATCTGGCAAATGTAAGGCAAGAATTTAGCCATTAGGCTATCACTCTGGGCCCTGGTACAAAGAGTTTTTAAGATCCCTGTTTATTTTCAGAATTATGAAACAGCAGCTCTTGGTACATAGAGGAGAAGTAACTCATCAGTTATCACTTGTAAGCAAAAGACCGTGAGCCTTCTGAAGGTCAAATTTAGAGAACTGCGTGGTTGGGCCATAGATAGACTTCAAGGGAATGAAGAAATTAGGAACCCTGAATGGGGTGCCTGCTTGTGATGGCATTGAAGAATGCCATATAACGTAAGCTCAAAAGCCTACATTAAGGAGCAAACCAAAATTCCAGACCCTTCTGTGACATTGCTCAAACATCCGTTAAGGCTTGTTGCTGTAGGACATAGGCTCATTTAAAACAAAAAGCTGTGTACAAATGTTTTATCAAGGAATGTATGTGGGTGGGTGACAAATATGAAAAAATACCCAGTGTGAGCCAGTAGGGAAACACAAACCATACTGATGCATCACGGTATGCCTAACCAGAAGGGACAACCTGCACAGCTGACAGCACCAGTACAGTGAAGACAAGGAGCAACCGAGCACATGTGTTGATGATGCTGTATCAACAGACAGCGGCTGTCACCTTAGGCCACTTTGGGATCATTTCTTAGAAATTGAAAGCAAACATGTGTCATATGACTCAGCCTTCTCCCTCCTTGCTCTAGTTATCTTAGAGAAATGAAAATTTGTGATCACAAAAAATACATGTTGTGCCCACATTAACGTGTAGAGCAGCTTTCTTCCTAACTTCTCAAAACTCTTGAGTTGCAAGTGAGTGGATAAAAACACTACAGTCTGTTGATGCGAGTGGATGACCAGTGGGTAATGTAAAATAACAACCTGGGTTTGCTGCTGTGGCCCAGTGAGTGAGGATGTTACTTGTAGCACCAGCATCCTGTGTTGGAATGCCAGTTTCAGCTCAGCTACTCTGCTTTGCATGCACCTTCCTGCTACTGTGTCCGGTAAGGCAGAAGGAGACGGCCACCCATGTGGGAGACCAGAATGGACTTCATGGCTCCTGGCTTCAGCCTGGCTCAGAGCTGACTGTTGCGGCCACTTGGGGAGTGAAACAGCAATGGAAGACTTATCTCTTCCTCTGTCACTCTGCCTTTCAAATAAAGAATGAATTACAACTTGGAACAAAGAAGCAATAAAATGCCATGAATAAAATGCATGAACCGGGCCCGGCGCGGTGGCGCAAGTGGTTAAAGTCCTCGCCTTGCACGCCCGGGATCCCATATGGGCGCCGGTTCTAATCCCGGCAGCCCCGCTTCCCTTCCAGCTCCCTGCTTGTGGCCTGGGAAAGCAGTCGAGGATGGCCCAAAGCTTTGGGAACCTGCACCCGCGTGGGAGACCCGGAAGAGGCTCCTGGCTTCGGATCGGCGTAGTATCGACCCGTTGCGGCTCACTTGGGGAGTGAATCATCGGATGGAAGATCTTCCTCTCTGTCTCTCCTCTCTGTACATCCGCCTTTCCAATAACAAAATAATAAAAATAAATCTTTAAAAAAAAAAATAAAAAAAAAATGCATGAACCTCAGCTGTATTACGCTAAGTAAAGGAAGCCACACCACCATAAAACAAGCATAAGTACACACTGTGTAATTTCGTTTATAGACAAGGCGAAGGCACAAATGGCACAGGTTGACTCCAGAATGGCCACGAGACGGAATTTCTTAGGATGATGGCATGCTCTACGCCTTGATTTGATGGTGGCTCCATGATGCGTGCATTCGCCCAAGCTCGTGGAACCATGTTCTCAGAAGACTGCAGGCCTGCCACATCAACGAGATGCTAACATTAAAATGCGAGATAATTGCGGCGGGCAGTTTGTAAGAAGTAACAGTGCGACTTGATAAGGAAGAGCAGGGCCACACTGTGCCTGGGGTTTGAGTTCACAGACTGCTGGCACCAGAGACCAAGGTCAAAGTGTGGGCAACAACGCACAAGTGGGCAAAAATCCAAATTTAAGGTCGAGGCCTATAGATGAGGATCTGCAACTGGGCAACAGTCCAAGGCCACAGAACTGTGTGCTTTAAGATATCCTTGGAACAGTCACGGACTGACTTCTGTGCTTGGATCACATTGTCGCTTCCTGATTGTCAACCATTGGCTGGGTTCGCCTGAATATGGGGTGTGGTGACCAGTCTTGGTGCCACATCAGTTCTTGTCATTCGACTCCCCAAGCAGTTCAATAAAAGCTTGAGGCAGTGAGCATTCTGGGTGGGCGTCCTTTCCCTAGAGAAAGAGGCTCCCCACTGGCCACCCCATTTTCATAATCCATATCTTGCATCTGTCTCATTTCTTATTTTCTCAATGGAGTGTCGCCTGTCTCTCTGACCCTGCTCATGCCGCTGCGGGGAGCGTAGTGCTGAGTGTTGGTGGGGAGCCAGCATGCAGAGGGGGAATGCAGCAAATGCTTAGACAGACATGCCTCACTACCATGTCCAGAGTGAAAAAATAGTGGAAGGAAGAAACAGAACCCAACACACAAGTAGGACCGTGAAGGGCTCAGATGTCTCAGGATTAGGCTCACTGCACAGCGTGAAGAATGGGGACCAACAGAGGCAGAGGCTCAGGGGAGGGTCCCATGTCCCTTCCACAGCCTGGTGGAGTCTGTAGCAATAAAGACTCCAGTATCTGCCCGTGTTGTCTTCAATGCTGTGTCACGTTCACCTTTCTGTATCTGTCCTTCTCTTTCCTTCCTTCCTTCTATGGCGGCACATAACTTTACACTTTAGCCCCTAAAGTAAGACTTTTTTATTTAATTTGAGAGGGAGAGAGACACAGAGAGAGAACTTCTTTTTACTGATTCACTCCCTTTAATACTTGACTTGAGCCGTCATCTACTACCCGCCCCCCCCGCCTCCCGCCCAGGATGCCCATTAACAGAAAGTTGGATCAGAAGCAAAGTAGCAGAGATTCAAACAGCTTAGCTGCTGGGCCAAACACCTGCCCCAAAGCTAAGATTGTAGAGATGTACCATGACCAGACTGTAGGTTTGGGGATAAAAAAAGTTTGTTTGGAAAGTATGCAGAAGTGTCACCATTCTTTTTGCTACACTCTGCTTGCCATGGAGAACACCCCAATCTTGCCCCAGGAAGTTGGCTGTACCTGGCTGTGGCACTCACGGATGGAAACGGCTGCTTGGGTGCCTCCCCCTGCCTCCCATCCCGACTGTGAGAAGCGGTGGTTGAGATACCGAGATACCGTTCCTGCCGCTCACCTCCCAACGCTAGGGAGGACGGGGGCAGTCTGTAGAAGGGAACGCAGAGGGGAAATGATCGCAAATCCATAGAAGAGAAAGGAGCAGGTTCCTTTAGCCAAAGTATCTCTATGTGCCCAGAACCAGGTGGGTTTGCTTCCTTTTGACAGCCTCCTGGCTGACTTTTCCAGCTGTACCCTCACAGTGCACACCCTGGAGATGGGAGGGTGAGGAGACGTGGGTTTGAGTACACAGCTAAGCACCTGCTTGTGCAGGCACTGCCATAGGGGTCCCGCACACAGGGTCTTGCTCAGTTCTGGCCTTACACAGCTGAAGTCATTCCTACCCCCCCCCCCCAGGCCCACCTTTAGATAAAGAAACAGCAGCTCCAGGTGCTTACAAAGCTTCTATAATCATCCAAGGCCATGGAGAAAGTGAGTGCCAGGTGTTGATGCCAGGTTAGTCTGCATCAAAGCTGTACTTGTAGACCCAGTCTGGGGTCCCAGTGGGGGGCTATCTCGCATCACCTGAATGAGGACAGGAAGACTGAGGGCCCCAGGCTTCAATGGCTAGCACTTGGAGAAAAGCTGCTCTGTTCCCATGCCTGAACACACTCAGACACCTGCGTCATTCCCACCTTCCAGCGCCTGCTTCCTCTGAGGCTCACGAGACCTCATTCTCAGCCAGCACTGGGGATGGTGCCTGCTCATACATGGCCTTGAGGGGCAGGGTGAGCAGCAGCCCTAACAAAAGGGCTGAGGTTTTGAAGCTGGGATTGCTGGTACTAAAGGAGGCAGACAGGAAAGGGGAGAAAGATTCCAGGAAGGATCTCCCAAAAGCTCCAAATTACTGCTGCAGGCAGGACCATGGTATGAGGGCAGCGACAGGTGCACCAGAGTAAGAACACACACACCCTGGCCACATTTGGCAGAGCTGGGTGGCTCTGGGACCTTGGCCTATCCCAGAATCCCCCAGGAGGATGCAGGAGGGGTGTCTCCTCACCAGAGCAGGCCTGACACTGCCGGATGCCTCTGTGTGTGTGAAGGCCAAGGCAGAGCTTGCCCTCACATGAGGCAAGAAAGTGCTAGGTCGCAAATGTAAAGAGGTGGTGGCTCCTGGCCTCACCCCAGTCCCTATCCTGCTTAGCATAGCACCAGTGCTGGGGCTCAACAAGCTGATTCTCCAACTCTAAGCACTGGCATCCCATATGAGCACTGGTTTGAGCCCGGGTGCTCTACTTCCAATTTAGCTTAGGGTCTGGGAAAACAGTAGAGGACAGTTCAGAGCCTTGGGACCCTGAATTTATGTGACAGACCCAAAAGAAGCTCCTGGCTTTGGATCAGTTCAGCTCTGGATTTTAATCAGTCACGGTCATTTGGGGAATAAACCAACAGATGGAAGCTCTTTCCCTCTTTGTGAATCCAACTTAAAAATAAAAACAAAATAAATCTTTAAAAAAAATGACAATGGTTAATAAAAATAGACTTGCATAGTTATCTACATGAAACATCCGCAACACAAATACACACATGTCATTTCAGCCTTCTTGGCTCACTGAGCGTCTCCTTGGCAGAGAGGTGAAAACACTGAGAGCCAAACAGTGAGATGATTTCACCGTCTAATCACTCTGACAGCTAGCAACAGCCACAAGTACAGAGTACTCCCTCTCTGGGTAAGCATGCGTGCACACACTCCCAGGAGCCTGCCCAGTACCTTATCAGGACCCCAGCAGATTGGCCACAGCTGTGTCTCTGCTCACGGAGGGCCCTGTGGGCAGGGTCCCTTTAAAGGCTCCGCCACCCCAGCTGGCAATGGCCTGTGTCCCTGACCTGCTGGCTGCAGCTCACACCTACTGTCCCACTCACCATGGAGAAGGTCCTCATCCTCCTGCTTGTGGTCCTGGCGGTGGCCCATGCGGCTCCTGAGCGGGGAATCATTATCAACCTGGTAAGAGGGTCTTTAGGGGAGGAGCCATCCGTGTCCCCAGGGAAGGACTGGGAAAGTTTGGAGCTTGACCTCTGGTGTCTCCGGGATGGGGCTGGGGTGCCTCTTCCCTCACTGCCCCAGGCCCTGTTCTGTGCCTCCTCCACGGGCATCCCAGGAGCTCATGCATCCCACCTGCAATGCACTCAAAGCAGAGGCCAGGGTACTGCCCGGAAACTGTGAGTTGGGAGGTCCAGGGCAGATTAAAACGCTCAGCCAGTAACCGTGGCTGCTGGTTTGCAGGGACTTCCCACCCAGAGACAGTTCTCATCCACCCAGTGGGCAGCAGCCTGCCTGTGGCTGAGCTGGTATGGCAAGCTCCTGCTCTTCCCACGACCCCAGCCATAGAAGCTACACATAGCTGGGAAAGCCCCATAGGGCCATCCAACCAGTCCAGAGCTCCTTTGCTTCCAGCTGGGGAGGGGCTTGGAGGACCCCAGATTCCTTGAGTTGGATGTGCATGGCTGTGGGATGGGAAGGAATCCTGAGCTTTCTCCATTTCCCCAAAGGACTGTGGGGCCCCAAGTGGTCCCCAGACCCTGCCTGGAGCTCCAAACATACATTCCCAAGCGGATCGAAAGCCTGGAGGCAGAGACTCGCGCTGGGTTACCAAGCAGTTGGCAGTGCAGAAGCCTAGAACTCCTTAGGCTGCTCCTGAGTCATACAGCTGGGAGAGTGAAGTAGCCTCCAGGCTACCCTACCCCCTTGCTTGGGGTTGGAGTCCTGCATATGGAGCCCAGCAGGGACAGGGCGGCGGGGGGTGGGACAGGGACCCTGGGCTGACTGTCCTGGACCCCGCAGGAGAATGGCGAACTCTGCCTCAACAGTGCCCAGTGCAAGAGCGGCTGCTGCCAACACTCGAGTGCTCTGAGCCTGGCCCGCTGTGAGCCCAAGGCCAGCGAGAACAGCGAGTGCTCACCCCAGGTGGGTGCTGGGAACAGGTGGACTCCAAGGAGGGTGGTCCCCAAAGGGTGAGGGCTAAGATCAGAGTTGACCATGAGCCTGGACTGACTGGCAAGGGAACAAAGAGAGGGGAGGGCCACAGGTTCACTCTCAACTCCATCCCATCTGTCTTCTCTGTGAGGTGGGAGAGGCTGGTCTTTGCTATCCCTATTTCACGGATGGGGAAAGAGAGGCACCCCAGAGAGATGACCTTGATAAGAGCACCTGAGCCCAGGGGCGGAAGTGAGGGACAGCCAGGGGAGGTGAGGGGGAGGCAGGAGGGCAGGCGGGCCAGCAGATGACTATGGCCTCCATCTCTGCAGACCATCTACGGCATCTACTACAAGTGCCCCTGTGAGCGGGGCCTGACCTGCGAAGGGGACAGGTCCATCGTGGGCTCCATCACCAACACCAACTACGGCATCTGCCTTGATCTCTGATCTTGGCCACCTTTGCTGTGGCTGGCCACCTCCTCGAGCAGTACCTCCAAGATTAAATCAGGCTGTTGGCGATTAAAGCCCTCATGCAAATCCTCCTGGCCTCCTGTGGTTCTTGTGAGCGGCTGCTGTTTCCCTTTCAGCTCCAGCCAACCTGACCCATCTGGGCAGGCCACACACACACACACACACACACACACACACACACACACACACGGTCAGGGCAGATGGCTCTAAACAGTAGGCCGACTAGAGTCAAGGTTGGGGTCAGGCCTGGTGTCTCTCCAGTACTGGGAAGCAGTCACACCCCCTTGGAGTGGCCCCTTAGGCTTCAGAGTTCCTGGAGAGAGAAGCAGCTGTACACACACACACACACACACACGCATACTCACACATACCCTCTGTCGTCATGGAGGAACAGTGGCCATATTTACTGCTCCACATCGGAGCTCACCAGGGCCCTGTCCTGGACTCTCTCTTCTTTGCTGGCCCCCACTCTCGGAGGGGACACAGTCGACCCAGCCTAAGTATGGGGGGGGAGGCGTCATATCATTCACTGACAATCACTGCAGGGTCACTCACTCAGCGGGCATCTTCACAATGATCCCCGGAGAGGGAATTCACCATGTCCATTTTATAGAGTCTAAATTTCAGACAGGAAAGGAACCTGTCTACACTACAAAATTAGAAAAACTCAAGGGTGGAGCTGTGGCTAAGCCAGGTCAGTGGCCATCTGAACCATCAGCATCTCCTACGAGCACCAGTTTGAGCATTCCACTTGTATCCAGGGAGAGCAGCAGAAGATGGTCCAGGTGCTTGGGCCGCTACACCCAGGTGGGAGACCTGGATGGAAGTCCAAGTATCTGGCTTCAGCCCAACCCAGTCCCAGTATTTGTGGTCATTTGGGTGAATGAGCCAGCAGATGGAAGTTCTCTCTCTCTCTCTCTCTCTAGCTCTCCCTTTCAAATAAATAGAATAAACCTTAAAGAAAAAGTTGGCACTACATCCATCTCAGCCTAAGTCCTGCTCCTCACAAGGTTCTCTCCTCTTTCCCAATTATTCACACAAAGGGAAATGGATGGCAAGGGTAGGAAAGTTAATCGGGGGCTTACATACAGTTTGTATGTCCTCTGTGGCCATCAAAAAGGGGGCTCCCCTGGACAGTACTGAGGTCGCTACTACCGTGTGCAGGAGAGGTCTGCTGACCGCTCAGTGGGGACGCTGAGGTGGAGATGCACATAGGAACAGGGCTGGGAGATCGGCTGACGCCCACTTGCCGTCCCACCCCAGGGCCCGGGCTGTGTGAGCAGTGAGCCACTGTGGTAACCATAGGTTGACGGGTTAGGACTGCTGTCAGCGGGAAGCAGCAGCAAACCAAAGAAGCTATACTGAAACAAGTAGGTATGTAAACTTGTCAGGATCCCAGAAGTCTACTGACAGGAAATGTTGACAGTCTAGTCCTGCAGGACCCTCGCCCTTACCCTCACAGAGGCCCGACGCCTTGGCAGCTCCTGCTGGCATATCCCATGTTCTCACCGTGTTCTAACACAGGAGCTTGGAGTGGGCACTGGGCAGGGCCTGGGTGAGCGGAGTGGGGCTGGGAGGCTGGGGAATCAAGAGTGGAGCGTTCCTCCTTGCACATCTTCCTCTTCCTTCTCCCAGGCACACTTCTCCCTATCTCAGCTGGCTAGACCTGGTCACCTCCCCACTTCAGCCGCAAGCGAGGCTGGGGAAGCCAAGGGAGTCAGATGACACCACAGGCTGTGACAGCATGAGCCCTGTGCGCATGGGCAGGGGACTGCCCCAGCAGCAGTGGGGTCTAGCTAGCAAGGAAGTGGAGTGGTGGTGGGGGGCAGCGTTTGCCACACAGGAGGCCGCAATACCTTGACCTAGCAGGGGTTGTCTGGGTTCTGGAGGCATGACTGGGCATACAAGGCAAAGTCAAAAAACCTCACAGGAAAAAAATACATGCAAGAAATGTTCAAACTTTTATATAGCTTTTCCTCATATGCATTTTCTACCAACTTTTTGAGGAGTCCTTGTGTGCCGGAAAGTAAACATTCTTTTGCATCAAAATAACCGGCATTTTCATTCTGTTCTGCCATGAGCTTTCCGAAGTGCCCTGGTACTTTGGTGTTCAGATCCAGCCCCGGGCTAGGGGTGGAAGGATCTGCACTCTTTTTTAAAAATTTATTTATGTATCCATTTTATTGGAAAGTCAGATATACAGAAAGGAAAAAAAAAAAACATAGAGGAAGATCTTCCATTCACTGATTCACTCCCCAAGTGGCCACAATGGCTGGAGCTGCACAGATCTGAAGCCAGGAGCCCAGAGCCTCATCTGGGTCCCCCACATGGATGCAGGGTCCCAAGGCTTTGGACCGTCCTCGACTGCTTTCCCAGACCACAAGCAGGGAGCAAGATGGGAAGTGGGCCATCAGGATACAAACCGGTGCCCATGTGGGATCCCAGTGGGTGAAAGGTGAGGACTTTGGCTACTAAGCTACTGCGCTGGGTCCCATAAATTAACTTTGAAAAATATGTGTAATATATAGGTTGAAAGTTTATATATTTATATATATTTCATATGTATTATATATACATAGAGAGCGAGAGAGAGAGAGAGAAAAGTACAAAAATGCAACCTGGACACCTCCAGGCTAGCCTGTGTTCAGCAGGTGCTCCCCAGGAACAAGTGCCCTGGCAGCTGACTCAGAAAAGCTCGGCGCACACAGCCCTTACAGTGTGGAATGAGGGCACTAACCTAAGGCACGGAGCCCGGGCAGCATCGGCACTTCTTCACAGTCATGATCTCCTGGCATATTTCTGAAATTTGTGATCAGGGAAGCCAAGAGGCAGGTTGTAGCCTGGGCTCTCACAGGGGGGTGATGATGTGGGTTGAAGCCGGAAGTAGACTTGGCCCAGGGCTCCTCTGGGGGACTTGCATATACACCCAGTGAGAGAAAGATCCCAAGCCAAACCAGCTTGTCCATCTTGTTTTTTCCCCTAGCCCCCCAGCTCCCCAGCTCCCCAGCCACCCAGCCCTCCAGCCCCCCCAGCCCTTCAGCCCTCCAGCTCCCCAGCCCCCCAGCCCCTCAGCCTTCCAGCCCCCTGCTCCCAGCACCCTGTACCATGCCCAGCCCAATGCAACTCCCCTGGACCCCAGCCAGTGGGCAGCAAACATGGAAAACTCTTTAATTTTTATGTACTTATTTTTAAAGAATGTTTTTATTTGAAAGGCAGATTTTACAGAGAGAAGGAGAGACAGAGAGAGGTCTTCCATCCGCTGGTTCATTCCCCAAATAGTCACGATGGCCAGAGCTGATCTGATCCAAAGCCAGAAGCCAGGAGCTTCTTCTGGGTCGCTCACGTAGCGGCAAGGTCCCGAAGACTTGGGCCATCTCCACTGCTTTCCCAGGTCATGAGCAGAGAGCTGGATGGGAAGTGGAACAGCCGGGACACGAACCAGTGCCCATATGGGATGCTGGTGTTGCAAGGTGGAGGATTCGTCTGCTGGGCAGTCTCTCACCTGGGCAGCGGCCCCTCACCCTTCCTCCCCCCAAGAACTCCTCTTTTCAGTGACAGTACACCATGGTTGGCAGAGGCTCCCGAGCCAAGAACAGGAACTGGCACTTCCGGACAGGCTGGATGGAAGGTGGAGTGTTAAAAGATTGTTTTCTTAGTTTGTTTCCTTTTTTCTGGCTTCTCATAGCGACCGTAGCTGCTATGAAAGAATTTTTGCTTTTCCAGAAATATGCAAGTCAGGTTGGGTTGGCAGGGGCACTCGTTGTGGAGGCCTAAGAAGATCTAAGCAATCACAGCACTGTGAACTTGACTGTCCCATGAGGACTGACCCTGTGTACCCTCATCAACCCCCACCCCACCAGTTCCTGGGCCCATCTGCTTGCCCACAGTGAGGAGCTTGCGGACAAAGGGCCATGACGGTCCCTTGCCCAGGTGCTCCGAGTGGATATTCGTCCTGGTCACCTCTCCAACCTGACTCCAAGAACGTCTCCCTGCATCTTTGTTCCCATCTTCATTCCCAACTCGAAGAAGCCCCACATGAGGCATGCCTCTGCACACAGCTCACCCAGCTGGGATCACGTGCAGCCACGCAGGGCCCTCCCAGTAAGGGGGACTTGTGACAGCCCAGAAGGCCACCTGGGCCTGTTTGCTAAGCTACCCAGGCATCCCCAGGCTGGAGCAGTACCGTGTTGGGGGAACCACGTGCAACCGGGACCCCAAGTCCCACAGGCAACCCCAAAAGAACTCGCAGAGCCGTCCTGGCTCTGGGTCACGCTTGGTCATCCATCGGCCTACCTCCACTCCTGCATTTCCAGCTCTGAAGGCAGTTCTGCCCGAGCTCCTGGTGGGAGACCAAGCGACCTAGTTCTGCCCCAACCTGCTCTGCAGGTTCCTTCTGCGCGCCCCAGGCCTGGGTGGGGGGGACCTGACACGGGTCTTAGCTCCTGCACTTGCTGCGACGCTGCCTTCTGACCCAGAAGTCCCGGCACACCAAGGCTGACTGGCCAGCCAGCCAGCAAGTACTGCGCACCTGTTGTGTGGCTGGCATTGCTCCAGGCACTGGGGTGGGGGTGGAAGCAGCCGAGGTGGGGCGGTACTGGCTGGAGGAAAGAGTGCGCCGCTGCAGCTGCGTTACCGAGTGGTCCGGGGCCCAAGCAGGACGAGGATCATCATCTCTACAGCTGGAACTGTGTGATCCGATCCCCACCTGTTACCCACGCGGGTCGGGAATAGCAGCTGGTGCTTCTCTCCGGAGCTGAATTTCAAGTGCTGCCGGATTTTAATTCAATTCACATGAATGGCTAGTGCCTACACTGTTGGACAAGCCTAGCTCCAGGGAGAGAAGAAAGGCACAAAAAAAGTAGGGTGGCCCAGAAAGAAGGCCTAGTAAAAGAAGCCAGTTCAAAGGGGCTGGTGCTGTGGAAGCAAGAGTTAGGCCCCGGGCCTGCAGCAGCAGCATCCGTGTAAGGACTGATGGA